CTCAGTCAGGTGCCTGATCCCAGGAAGAGCTGGCATACAGAAAGGTTGGAGGTGGGAGGTGAGTGCAGAAAGGCTGAGTTGCTGCTTTTGGTGGCAGTTTCAGGCTCTGCATCGTAGACAAATTTTATACAAATACATCCAGAAAAGGACATGACAGGATTTCCAGGGAGTAGCAAGGCAGTGCAAGGGAGAGAGGAGAGAGTTAAAGTGACTGCAGGACAATCCTTGCAGAAAGAAGCCTCTGTGTGTGTGGTGTGTGTGTGGTTCTAAATGAACTGCTTGTGCTGAAGATCCCCAAAGATTGTTGGGCAACCTGAAACAACAGTCTTTGCTTCAGAATCAGAAACCCACTTCTCTTAACTGCTCTCTTGTGGTCAGCTCCCTGAGAAAAAGGATTTGGGGAAGGGAAGCACATGATAGATTAATCAAGAGCTCCGTGTAAAGCAGTGTGACACAGATTTTCTGATGTTTACTAAATCTCCTGGATTTAGTGTCCTTTGTCAAGGAATGGGCAGTTCAATCAATAATTTGCCTGCACAATTTTTTCTTCAGACCAAGAACTTGGTGTCTGGCTTCTGGCTTCTCCTACAGGTTAACAATAGTTTGGGATAAGGTGACTAACTGTGATTAGGGATGTTAATCTGACAGGTGTCCAGTCCCTTGCAGAATTCTGATAAAATCTTTGCTTTGGTCCCTGGGACAGTCAGTTAAGCCAATAAATCAATAGTTCCGTAGGAATCGTTTTACTGATGTTGAGTTTTTAGCTTTTTGATTCTCTTAGGCTTTTGATTTCTCTGCTTTTTTTGGGGGGGAGGATGAGGAGAGGATGGCCAGAGCTGATGATTGCTGTGGCATCTTGGCACGTCCTCCCCTTCTCTGGTTTCTGCCAGAAACAAGACTCCTGCTCTGCTCTGGTGTGAAGGCAGTGCTGTGAATGCCTGGGTTGTGTTTAGAGCTTCTCAGAGGGGTCTTGGCTTAGTGGCATGTCCAGTGCTGGGATTTGAAACATGAAACATTTGCTTGAAGGCCATGAGAGGGTAGAGCTGTGCCTGAATTGTGCCCTGGCCAGGCCAGGGCTGCAGGATGTGACCATTGCCTTCCTTTCTGTGTGCCAAGCAAACCAAATTAAACAAATCAGATGCAACTTTGAGTCAGAACTGACTGCTCAGAGAGCATTTTTAGCAATCACAGACAAACCCTGCCTTGCCCTTGATTTTAACTTGTGCAGTCTCTTCTGCAATTTTTTTAGAATGAAAGCTGCAATTTGTGATATTTACACCAAACTAATTGACTTTCCCAATGAAGTAGTTCCCTCAAAAATCTCTAGTGAAGGCATAACTACAGTGCTGTCAGAAATTTTAAATGCATGTAATTATTCCATCGTGGGGAAACTAATCACTGGATTTAATAGTTTTTTAGCAGCCTCATTCCCAACTTCTAAACACAATTCTGAAATACCACGTAGTAAGAATTTCAGTTAGGCCAACACAGGGGATCAATCCAATTTCCCTTCAGGTTATCAGATGAATCTTGAGCTGATAGATATCTCACTTGAGAAACCAGTACTTTAAAATTCATTAGAGAGTGCTGTCAGCTGCCAATTTGCAAAATGTTTGAGCCACAGCACAAAAATTTTATCCACTGTGTGTATTGACTCCAGCTGCTCTATGAATAGCTGCTTTATAATGATGGCTTCTACAATAGCATGTTTGTCAAAGTCAACGTGGAGCCAGTCCTGGGAGGTATTTCTGTTCCACAGCCTGATCTCCTAAACCTTTTTTAGAGCAAGAGTGAGATTTGAATTGCAGTTCCTGCCTTTAAAGGCTTCTGGGGTGCTACTAACACGTGCAAGTCTGATCAAAGAGTTTGGGGAATGTCTGTGATGAGTCAAGTAACCCTTTTTGTCTTTAAGAAATAAAATTCTAGCCACTACCTGCTATCTGTCTTTACTGGCATGGGAGACCTGTGAGGCTGCAGTTCTGGGATATGGTAGAAGGACAAAGCAAACCTTAGGTACAAATGATGGGGTTTTGGGGCTTTTTTTTTCCCAGGAGAAATCCACTGAGAGCTCTGAGTTCCTTTGTGCTTTTAAGAAATGAATGTTTGCTAGGTTTTTAAATAAAATAAATTGATTGATGACCTCTAGAGACATGAACTGCTCTGAGCTAAAGAACCCACCAAGTTCCTGAACTTGTTTGCCAGAGGTGATCAGCCACGGGAAGGATTAATCTCCTTTTCCACTGAGACTTAGCCCTGATTGCTCAGATTACACAAGAACTGCGATGAGCTGAACTGGAAGCAGAACAAAGCTGCCCTGAGAGTGTGAAGGGATGAAATCACTCATGTCAGGAGGACTTGGCTGAGCACTGTGTGGGCACAGGTCACTGGAGAGGACAGGGAGGTTCCCAGGGCAGGGAGCCAGGAGAGAACGTGGGCTTGTGCAAGGAGAGAGCTGGGGAAGGGATGCCAGACTCCCAGTGCCTGTGAAGTTCCTATCTGTACCCTCTAGGAAGTGCTTTGATCTAGGTGACTAACAGAAATGTTTTGAGGATTTGTTGCTGAATTGTTATTTTTTTTTAAATATCCCCTGTTTAATGCTGGCAAAATGGCTAAAATTGAGAACACAACTCAGAGCCAGCAGTAAAGACTTGAGCGCTTTTTTTAATTATTATTTTTCCTTTTTGTTGTTATTATTATTATTTTTTTTTGTGTTACAACTTCTGCCTTAACCCCTAACCTAGTTAAAAAAATTTAAAAAAAAGAATCAAACAAATGAAGAGTAAACCTTTGCTGACGGAGCAAGCTTTCGCCAGTCATGTGGCCAGGAGTTGCTGCCTCCTTGTGACCATGATACTAAAGAGCTCTTTGTTTCAGGCTCATGTACAGTCAGGAATGGTTCCTTCTCACCCAACTGCCCATGCTCCAATGATGCTAATGACGACACAGCCTCCCGGTGGTCCCCAAGCCGCCCTCGCTCAAAGTGCACTACAGCCCATTCCAGTCTCGACAACAACACATTTCCCCTATATGACCCACCCTTCAGGTGAGGAGTGTGTGCCTGGGAGACCTGCACCCTAACTGAGCCAGGTCGAGGAGTGAGGACTGGGAGAAACCAGATTTGGGGAAAAAAAAAAAAAATTAAAAAAAAAACTACAAAGAAAACCAACCCAACCTTAAGATGTCCTTGTGTTTCACAGCTGTGCTTTGGCAGCCTGGAGGAGCATAGGTTTAGCTGAGATGTACCTAATTCAGGGAGTATTCTTGATTTTTCTCTAGCTGGAGTAGGGAAAAGGAGAGGTGTGAGCCACTGGCACTGTGGGACTGAGTTTTCCGTGGATTTGCCGTGGGGGATGGACTGTGTGTAGTTTATAATGATCAGAGGTTTGATTAAATCTTGAGGACAGCAGTGAAATGTTGTGTGTGGGGGTAGGGCTGCTAGGCTGCTGTTAAAGTAAAGTGACAACTGAAATCTAAACTTTAATTCAGAGTAACATTCTGCAGCTTTGCTTTGGGGGAAAAGTAGGAGTTGTGTGACTTCTTTGCGCTTTAAATTTAACCTTATTTAGGTTTCTTTGATTATTCAAGTTCAAACAGCCTGTGAACTTCTGTAGTGATTTAGTTTTACCTGGTGTTTCTTGGGGAATGTGTGAGCAGAACAAAGCTGCTTTCTGAGGGCTTAGGTAGGGAAAGAGCAAAAAAAAAAAAAAACATCCCAAGGACATCTTGATGTGCCGGGTTTTGTTTTGTTCTCTAAAAAAATAAAAGAAAAAGAGAAAAAAATAAAATAAAGTTGAGCTCAGTAGTTGTCCTGTGACCACTTTACTAGCAAACTGTTGTGTGGCTTGCCAATTTATTATTTACATTTGAACTTTTTTTTTACAGTACAAGCCCACCACCAACAGCAGTTGTAAGGCTCATCTGGAATAACTGAAAGGCTGGATACCTTTTGTAGGCCAAATACCCTCCTTCTACTGCTTCTGCCAACTGGAAGCACAGAAAACTAGAATTTCATTTTATTTTGTTTAAAAAAAAAAAATTTGATTTCTTGTAACATCCACTAGGAATGCTAACAGTTCATCTTGCAGTGGGAGAGATTCGGACTGAGTAGAGGCATTTAGGAACTTGTGGGCTATTCCATAATTCCATGCACTGTATCTGAGTCCTGCAAGTGCCCCAACTCTGCTTGCTGAAAACTGGAAGTTATTTATTTTTTAATGACCCTTCAAAGTTATGAACTCGTCAGCTAGCAAAAGAAGTAACAAGAGTGATTCTTGCTGCTATTATCACTAAAAATCAAGACTTGGAGATCCCTTTTACTTCTAACTAAACTTGAAACAGGTTCAGTAAAAAAAAAAAAAAAATTCTAATCGTCAAACGGATGAGTTATTATTTATAAATCACGTTTGATGAGATAATCACTATCGTGAGACAGTGATGTAACTTTTAAGTTAAGAAAACTTTTACTTTGTAGATAATATAAAATAAAAACTTAAAAAAAAATTAAAAAATAAAAAAAGTTTTAAAAACTGACCCTCCTCGGTGTTTGTGTGGTGATTTTTGGGTCTCTTCCCGTACCTGCTGCTGCAGGGGCATTGCAGGAAGAAGGGAAAGGTTTGGGAATCCCAAATCCAGTTTTCTAACAAGGTTTTGTGTCCAGGTGATTTTGTGTTCTGATCCCTCAGCCTCGAGCTGCTCCGGACGGGGCTGGGAAAGCTCCCGGATTGGCCTTTAAGGTGATGGAAGTAAAAAAGGCAGTGGTGCTGCTGGAGAAGGGAAGGAAAGGTAAGAATTCCCTGGCAAAATGCCTTAAAAAGATGGAGAGACAAAGTTATCCCTGCTCCAAGTGCCGTGTCCTGACTGTCCTGTGTGGTGCAGGCATTGTCCCATGGGGATAAACCAGAGGATTTTCATGTCCAAGGGAGCATTCCTGCCTTTTAGCATCCAGAATCCACTAAAACAATGTCCAGGCACCTGGAGAGAATCAAACTGAAGACTACAAGTGAGAAACAAGTTCTAAAAACAGTTTATTAAGAGCAGATTTTTTTTTTTAATATTATGGTAAAATTGCATTATTCAAGAATAAGTTACTTGTACAGTACATACAGAAACAATATATAGAAAAAAATTACTATACAAGAAGAACTTTTCTGTGCAGGTGAAAAGTAGAACTTTCAAATTAATACACTCCCAACAAAATTGTTGGCTTTAATCGTCCTGCTAAAGGCTGAGTTAGGGAATACAGAGTCACCTCCCTGCCTCTGGGATCTGCTGGGGAATGTTGGGGCTGTTTGGATCAAAGCTAAAAGTTTGGAATGCTGGATGACACCGGGGTTTGGTGGTCCAGATGAGAAATGAGAAGCTTTGGCTTCTCCCTGGATCTTTCCCTAGAAGTTTCACCCCAAAATAGCTTCAATCCAAAGGGATGGGTGAGGAATGGTGGTGTCAGTGTTCAGTACCTGCTGGGCTGGGATCTGGGAGGGAGACATCCACTAATGCTTCATGTCAGGAGCTCCTTCACAGCCTGACACCCTTGGGGACACAAAGGCCACCAAGCAGGAGTGGCTGTCAGCAAACAGCAAGAGGAAGAGGAGGGGGAGGAATTCTGGCAGGACCCAAGTTTTGGATTGTGCCCTAAAACCAAGTCCCTGCTGTCACAGAGCAAAGGCACTGCCTGGTTTTCATTTTTATTGCTAAAAACTGTCCTGAGGAGCTGGATGAAATGGGGCTCCCCTTCCCCAGCCTCTCCTGGGGGAGGCCCTTGGGCAGGACTTCCAGCCCAGCTCCAAGAGCTGCTCCTGTGGCTCCTGGCTTCCTTGGGTGGGATCCAAACTCGTGTTCCACGTGCCCATCTCCAGGGCCAAGGCACAAACTGGTGCCTACACCTCACCGAGGGCCACCTACCTTTGGCTTCCCCTCCTCCCAAAATCCCCACAAATGCCAGTAAAATCCCGCAGGGGCTGAAGAACCAAACCTGCCCAGCCCTGGGCTCTTCCCTCAAATCACAAGAATATAAAAAATCCTGCAAAATGCTTCTATTCCATAGGGTGGAATGGCTTAATGCTCTTTGCCCACTGCTATAGTGCAGAGGAGTACCTTAGGGCTGCAGTAACGTGCTGGCAGGAGCAGAGCTGTGCTCTGACCTGTGTCACCAGCCAGATGTTTTCTAGGAGAAATGGGATTTCAAACTCAGTTCCCCCTGGGAGTTTGGGAAATAGCCCAAAAATCCCCTCAGGTCCTGCTGCAGTGGATCTGAAATGAGGAACTGGTGGAGCTGGCAGGGCTGGACAGCCCTCAGCTGCCTGTGGGTGAGATTGGGGATGGAATTAGCTGTTAAATAATCAGAGGGACTCTCCCACTGGTGGGGAGAACAGTTCTCCCCCACTGGAGTTTGTTTGCATGGGGGAAGTGGCTGATAATGAACCCAACGTGTATTTTACTAATCAAGCACAGCAATTTCCATTTAAACTGCGGAGAACCCCCTTGTAATTAAACTGCAGGTTAAAAATACCACATGCACACGCATGTTTCAGTTCTGGCACTGGAACAATAAAGTCCTGGCGTGCCAAAACAACCCACCCCAGCAGCATCTGATTTATCTGGCAAGGATTTCTCTGGATTCATCTGGCAGGGGAAGTGAATAGCGCTGCCTTTTCCCAGCCCATCCTTTCTTTGCAGATGTCGGGAGATTCGGGTGATTCCACCTCGCCTTTTGGGGGAAAACCCCTTTGAAAGCAACTCCCTGGAGCCCAGTGGGACTAAAACCAGCAACCTGAGCAAGATTTAGCACATCCCTGTGTTTTCCAAGGCTTTGGGAAGCGGGCAGCAAGCGAGGAAAGGAAACAACAACTCGCGCTGTGCTGTCCCTCCTTCCCTTCCCCATCCCTATAAATGCAAGAGCACGGGGAGTTATTTATGAGCCTCGGAGGGAGCTGCCTTGCCTGGCACAAGCCAGCCCTGGGGATGTGCTCCTGCCTCTGGCTGCAGCCTTTGTGCTGCTCCAGGGAGGAGAATGGGATGCGGATACAGCTGAGGAGCCCAGCGAGGACAGGGCTGGCTTTGTTCCTCCGAGAGCCTCTCCGGGGCTGGCAGTGCTGCAGGACCAGTGCAATTTGCTCTTAATGCTCCAGTTTCAGGCACAAGTGTAGAGAAAGCAGGGGGAAAAAAAAGCCTTTGCCTGCTCTAAGTGCACAAAGCCCAGGAGAGAGCAAGAGCAAGCAATGGGGAGGCACAAAAGGAAAACCTAAATGGTTTCTCCAGTTGATGGTTCCCGTTTGTCTCAGCCTCATACTCAGATTTATAAACCCAGATTTGCTCTCATGGCTGCTTCCTGGGCTGTTTGGCCCCAGATATTTTGGCCTTGCCCAACAGCTCCTGACCCTGTCTCCTTGGAAGTTGTGCTCACCCAGAACCTGCAAAGCCTGTCCTAGAGGCTGGGTTTTTGTGGAATTCCCTAACTCAGCCCAACGAGGCTTTGTGTTTGCTGGTTTTCAAATTAATTGCTAAATGTTAATGCTCCTGAGGGCTCCCACCTGTATTGCAATTTCAAGGAAAATAGAAATAAAAAATGCTTTCTGTAAGGCAATCTCAAGGCAAGTTTTGCATCCGAAATCCCAGGGAAGGCTGTGCTGGGAAATCTGGAAGTTGAATACTGTGAACATCCCCTCCTGTGTGGCGCAACGGCTCCAGCCCTTCCTCTTTCCTAAAATAAAGGCAGCTTCTCAGAAGTGCTTCCTCTCTCACGGCTGCCCCAGGCAGGTGAAGCAGCCCAGGGGGCTCAGGAACAGCAGCAGAGTTTGGGGACAGCTGGGGGTCAGGGGATGATGAGACCCAGGGATTTGTGACCCCAAATTTGGCCCCCAGGGACCCCCATCGCCTGCAAGAGGCTGTTGTGGAGCTTAAAATGCCACCAAGCTCCTGGTGACACGGTGTTTTGGGGGCAAAAAGGCAAGCAAGAGTATGGGTCTCTTTAAGGGGAAAACTGACTTTAGATTTGTGCCTAAAATCACTGGGATAAAACGGTTCCATCACTGGGATAAAAACCCATTCACCACAGGGATAAAAAGCCTCCATCACCGGGATAGAACGCATCCATCACCAGGATACAAAGGGATAAACCCCTCCCTCACCAGCAGGAGAGGTTTGTGTCAGTCTCTGTGTTAGTTCTCAGCTGGTGCCTTGGCTAAGGATGGAGCAATTAGTGTTCAGTCTCAATCAGCCGGGAGAGCGGGATGAGGATCCCTCTGCCTGGCGCAGGGAGTGACCACGGCTGTGCTGGGTTAAAAAGGAAAAGCAGGAAAAAGCCAGTTTTTGCCTTAGCTAAAAAAAAAAAGCCCAAACCCTGCTCACCACCTTTTGTGGGAGCTCAGCTCGGTCGGGCTTTGCTGGTGGGTTCAGCAGCCAGGGTAGGAGGATGAGGCCTGGAGCAGCAACTTGGCAGTGAATTTATAATCATTCTTTCCTTGTTATCCTGGGTTTTTTTTTAACTTCCTCCAATTCCGTGGGTGTAACACAAGCCCCTGGTTCCTTGGCTGGGCTCTGTCATGTCAGGACAGGCAGGACACCGGGCCCGGCGCAGGCACGAGCGGCGTTGTGTAAACAGTAACGAGAAAGCTTCGATAAAAACAACAAAAAAAAAACAATAAGAGGCCCTTTAACAGGCCAACGAGAGGGAGCACACCCGTACAGGAGTGAAAAATTACCCCCTTCCTTGCAAAAAAATACAACAATAATCCCTAACCAGAAGGAAGAAACAGGTACATTCTTTCTCTCGATGGATCCCCCCAGAAGGTCTCCAGGATTTCTCCACCCGAAAGTGCATCCCAGTGCCGGCGCCGTGCTGGTCAGAGCGGCGTGTACTGGTTGTCGATGGCACGGACGTGGCCCCGGCCCGGTGCCTCCACCTCATAGTCCGAGTCGCGGGGCCGGGCCGCGGTGGCCGCGGTGGCCCTGGCCGGGCGCAGGCTCTGCGCCAGCTCGGCCGGCGGCGGCACCAGGTGGAAGATCTGCTCCGCTGGGGGACCCCCGGGGGGCTCGTCGGGGTTGTGAGGGCAGGAGGAGCTGGTGGGGATGAGGCCGAACTCGGGGCTCCAGCCTGGAAAGGGCAGCGGGAGGGGGACCGTGGTGCTGGAGCCGGGAGCTGAGGGCAGAGAGGGGAGATGCTGGTCAGGGGGATGCCCCTGTCACCCCTCTCTGGGGGTGCATCCCATGACCCCCCCGCAGCCGGTGGCTGGGAGCAGCTTCTCCTTTCTCAGAAGGGGAAGTTGGGAGCTTGGCAGTCACCTTTTGTGCCACTGCCCCGAGGCTTCCGCTTCCCCACTCCAGGAGCGGCCAAAGGGCCCAGCTCTGGCCAGCACCGGGGCACCCACACCCAGCCTGGGCAGCTCCATCCCTGCATCCCAGGGGAACATCCCCCTTCCCAACACCTTGTGTCCCACAGGAACATCCCCCTTCCTGCACACCTTGTGTCCCACGGGAACATAACCCCTTCCTGAGCACCTTGTATTCCACGGGAACATCTCCCTTCCTGCACACCTTGTGTCCCACGAGAACATCCCCCTTCCCTTCCTGCACACCTTATGTCCCATGGGAACACCCCCTTCCCTTCCCTTCCCTTCCCTTCCCTTCCCAGCACCTTGTGCCTGGGGCAGGACGACGACGTAGCTGGAGAGCCGCACGTCGCAGGCGGTGCCGCATTCCAGAGGGATGGGGTAGCGGTGGAAGTGCTGCAGCATCTCCACGATGGAGGAGAAGCGGAGGTGCTGGACCCGGCACTGGCCCCGCTCCGTCAGCGCCAGCCGCAGGTGCTGCGGAGAGGAGCAGGGACCTGTTACCCTCCCTCCACTCCTTCCTGGAGGACCCCGTGGGGATATTTGGGACGGGGGGACACTAATGGCTTTAGCACCAGGTGCTGCATCCCCCCCGCCTGTGGCTCCCTGGGGATTTTGCCGCCCGGGAGAAGGGTACCAGCACACTGCAAGCATCGGGGCAGAGAGCAGGAGGGCACCTCCCTGGTGAGACGGGGGCTGTCCTGCAGCAGGGGCTGTCCCTGTGAGATTCCCCTCCCCATCCCAGCCCTGTCCCGCCCGTACCTTCGCTCTGCCCTGGAAGTTGAAGGTGAGCACGTACTCGCCGCGGCGCGTCTCGCTCTGCCGCACCAGGAACACGCCGTGGCCCTCCAGCCCCCCCAGCTGCACCAGCTGAGCCGCCTTCACTCGGGAGATGGGCCCGTGGAACCAGGGGCAGGAGGAGAGGAACTGCTCCATCTTCGGCCCCGCCGCCTCCCCCGGGCCCCCTGGAGTCGCCCCTGCCAGGCACAGGGATGAGTGTCCCTGGGAAGTGACCCTGGGAAATGTCCCTGCCCATCGCCCCCGTCCCCTCCCCTCTCTGTCCCCTCCTCGTGCCGTTTGGGGAAGGCCAATCAGCCCAGCCACGGCAGGATGTGGTGACCCCCCGGTGAGGGATACTCTGTCCCCAGGGTCCCCTGGTGTCCCCAGCTCACCTTGGCTGACGGGATCGGTGCTGGTGGCGGGGCTGGCGGCTGTAGGGTCGGGGTGTCGGCACGTCAGGAGCTCAGAGTCACCTGTGTCAGACCTGCTGGGGATGGGAGAAGCCAGGCTGAGTGCTGGCAGTGGGGACACAGAGCCACTGTCCCCACCCCGGGGCTCAGGGACACCCAGCAGCGCTTACCCCCTGCGCACACACTCCCGGATCTCGGCCGTCCAGCAGCTGAGCTGCTGCTCATCCCCTGCCTCAAACAGGATGTCGGTGGCATTGGTGACCTAGGGGACATCAGAGAGGGACATGAGGTCTTCAGAGAGAGAGAGAGAGATGTGCATCCCCCACCCTGCACTCCACATCCCCCTGTGCATCCCCTCCCGGGATAGGAAGAGGAACAGAAATTTGGCACGGGAGCTTTTGGGAGCCACATGTGTCCCAGAGGGTGGGAAAGGCCTCGGGGGTGGCTGCAGACCCTTTCGGCAGGTCCTACCTTGAGGACAAAGGTGTGCAGGTTATCGGGCATCTCGAGGCGTGTGCACCTCCGCACCTCCTGCACGGCAGAGCAGGCGACGAGCAGCTTCGGCTTGGAGCCCTGTGAGGGGAAACACAGAGCCTGAGCTGAGCCCCAACTCCCCCACACCCCAAAACACTGCCCCACACCCCAAAACACCGCCCCACCCCCCAAAACACTGCCCTGCACCATACTGCTCTGCCCAGCCCAGGAGCCACCTGAGGCACAGCAAGGAAACACCCGGCTCTGCAGGGAAATACTCCTGCAGCAAGGAAATACCCTGTGTGGTGAGGAAATACCCCTTTGTGGCAAGGAAATACCCTCCACGGCACTGCCCAGTCACTGTCAGGGCACCCCAGGGGGGCTGAGTGACATCCAGACCCATCTCAGGGGTCCCAAGGACCCTGCAGTGGAGGGATGGGTGGAGGAGAGGAGGGAGAAGGGGGTTCCCAGCACGGCAGCACGTTCCAGGGATGTGGCACCGATGGGGAAATTGGGGTGCAGGCAGGGAACATGCTGCTCGTGGCTGCGAGGGTCAGTGGCCTGCCAAGAGCTCCCCAGCGGGTTTGGCACTGACACAGGCATGTGACAAAATGCTGAGCAAACACTTCCACAAAGGCTAAAATATCCCTGTGGCAGCTTTCAGTTCCTCAGGAGGCTGCAGCACGTGGCCCAGGATCCGGGGTGCCAGGGGGGAAAAAAAATCACTGAAATGGGCAAAAATTCACTAAATTGGGCAAAAAAATCACCCAATGGTGCTGAGTGATGGAGCCAAGGCTCTGTGCTCAGCCCTACAGCCAGAGCCATTCCATGCATCCTGGCAAAGCCCAGGCAGTGCCACCACGTGCCAGGCCCACTCATCCCCCCACGCCAGGCTTGCTGCACAACATTTTGGGCTGGCTGTGATTCACACAGTGGCTTCATCATCCCATGGGATGCTGGTTCCAGTGTCCCTCTTCACTCACACTGTCCCTACACAGCGACAGTGTCCCTACACCCTCGGCTGTGGCGCTTCACCCCACAACAGCAACCGCCAACCAAACTGCCCAAATTCTGCCCAGAGCTTGTGATACTCACAGCAAACCCACCGCCAGCATGTCCCCAACCACCTGTATGACACTGAGAATGTCCCCAGCGGACACTTCCTCGGTCACCCAACCACACCATCTTTAGCTGTGCTTTTTATTTTTTTTTTTTCTTTTTTTCCATCCCCCCTCCTCCCTCCCTGGCTGCCTCAGCCGAGCACTCGGTGTTCTCTGGGGCCGGAAACGCAGCGCGAGAGGGATCAGCCCTTATCAGCTCCGAGCTGCACCGAGAAGAAAGTTCTTAGAAGTCGCTCGTGTACGGCGTCATGCACAGGGCTGGTGACACCGCGGTGGCTCCGGCAGCCCCGGGCCCGCTGGTGACAGTGATTGCAGCTGTGCTGTGCTGCAATCACTGTCACCGGGCTGCCGTGAGGCGCCGCGCCGGCGCCGGGGCTTTGATCCCGAAGGAATTTGATTTTTCTGCCACCTTTGGAACGCAGCTGTGCCCTGTGCAAAGTCCTGTGTGGAGAAGGTGAAAGGATCTCTCGTCCTGGCCACTTTCCCACACGGGAGTTGTGACGTCCAGCGTGACCCTGAGCGGGTTTTATCAACACCCCAACCACAGCGCTGGGGTCGGCTTCTCCGGAAACGGGGAAATTCCAGGAAAAGGGAGTTCGGCGAAGCCCCCTGCGTCTCTCGGCGTGGAGAGCGCAGCTGGAGCGTGAAGGGAGAAGGAAATGATGCAGCACAGAGATAGGGTGCCCGAAAAACCAGGCTGGCTTCGGGGAAGTGCCTACCACAGGCACGGTGCCCCCGCTGCCGGGGCGCCGCACCTGACCGCAAGATGCCCTGCTCGATGCGGCCGGTACCGGGAAAGGGAGTTCTCAGTAACCAAAAGTGCACACTCAACACGCCAAGGGTTCACCCACGGGCTCCTTCTCGGCAAGAGGAGCCCCAGCAGCACTGCAGGGATGGGTAATGCCCGCTGCTGCCCGGCTCTGTGTGCTCAGGATGCTCAGGATGGGGTGGAATGCTGAGGATGTTACTGGCGTTGCTCTGGCTCAGCCCAAACTCCACCAGCTTCCACATGGAGATTCTCCCCACTGAATCTCCAGCAAGGATATTTGGGGTTGATGGTGTTTTTCACAGAAAAGCTCCTCCCAGCTGGCCCACCTGTGCCAGGAACACTCTCCCCAGGAAGCTGCGAGCTGCTGCCATAAGGAGCACGTCTGGATGCTCAGGGGACACTGAGGCTGCTGGCGGAGCTTTTCCCACTCAGGTGAGGAGGAAGGTGGCTCTCCAAGAACGAGAGTGGCATGATGATGACAGTGGTGGCAGTGGCTTGGTGATGATGGCAGTGATGAGGGTGGAGGCCTGGCAGTGGTGGCACAGCAGTCTTGGCAGGGTCATGGTGACAGTGGCAGTGGCATCACAATGATGACGGTGGCACAGTGATGACGGCAGTGGCGTGGTGATGATGGCATTGTCACAGTGACGATGGCAGTGGCTGGGCCATCAGGCCAAGTTCATGCAGAGCAAATCCTTCGAGAGCACCAGGAGCTGCCCCCGGCCCCTCCACGCTCCGGGGGTTTCCCCACGCCGGCTCTCGCTTCCACTCTGAGTCACCACGGGAGGTGGGGAAGTGCCTGAGCCCTTGTGCAAGGTCCCCAACGGATACGGGCGAGATTTGTCACTTCTTGTAAATCACTGTGGCCCTTACGCAAGGGACAAACCTCAGCCAAGCTGCAGTTCCAGGCCTGGCTTGGCCTGGCTGTGCTGGATGGACACAAAACCATATCCTGTGTCTGCAGCCCTGGGGGAAGCTGTGAGGTTTTCCAGGAGCATGGATACACACAGCTCCTCTCCAGGGAATGCTGGGTGAACTGGGTGTGGGAAACATCTCCTGGCACCAGGGCAGGACAGGGAGAGGCAGCGTGGCCCTGCAGGGCTGTGAGGGCTCCAAGGGTCCTGCTGGAGAGTCAAAGTGTCTGCTGGAGCAGCCATCATCCTCAGGAGTTTGCACCAAGGGTAATCCCAGCCTTCATCCTCAGGGATTTTGTGTGGCAGGAAATCCCACAGGTGGTTTCCCTTGGGAGTTTCACCATCGTTAAACCCAGCGCTCATCCTTGAGGACATTGCACCATAGATAATCCCAAAATGTGTCCTCAGGGATCTGCACCATGGCTAATCCTAGTGTTCATCCTCAAGGATCTGCACCACAACCACTCCAGTTATTCATCCTAAGGGATCTGCACCATGGCTAACCCTACATTGCACCATAGATAATCCCAAAATGTGTCCTCAGGGATCTGCACCATGGCTAATCCTAGTGTTCATCCTCAGGGTTCTGCACCATGGCTAACCCTGGTGTTCATCCTCAGGGATCTGCAGCTGACTAATCCCTCTCTCCAGCAGCTAATCCCAGTGCTCCAGAGGAGTTGACAGCACAGTTAATTCCAGTGCTCTTCCTCAGGTGTTTGTACAACTGTTCATCCCAAGAGGAGAGGTCCACACTGGACAGCCCCTGCCAATGCTGGTTTTGGGGACAGGGACTGGAATCCCACTGCTGCAGGGACCCCTAGCTCAGCTCAGCTCCCCCTGACCCCGGGATGACACATTCCCAAAACATTCCTGCCTCTCTGCAGGCGCAGACCACTCAACTGGAGACCTCCTGGCAGCAGCAAGCACCATCCTGGGCTCCATTCTGGCTTTGGGGAACTGGAGCCTGGAGGTTCCCCGACTCTCAAAGAGGAACACAGGAGGTGATTCCCGCTGCTGTGCCAGCCCAACATCCCCCACACCTCCCAAAAAAACCCTCTCTGCCCACGGCAAAGCCCCGCCAGCATCCTCCACCCGGCACACAAAGGCGTCTCCAGGACACCCTGTCTCCGAGCATCCCGCGGGCCGTGGCGGGGGACGGAGCTGTCCCCGAGGGGAGCGTGCCCAGCGGTGACAAGAGGCACCGTTGTGCCGGCCTGAAGCGCTGCCTCGGGGGCCACAAAGGTCCCTCTGTTCCCGTCGGGGGCGGCTGCGAGCGCCGGCGAACGGCCACGGGAGAAAACACAGCCCCGACCCCGGAGCGCCCTGAGCCCCGATTTCCTTCCGAATTAATCCGGGGTGCTGCAAAAGAGCACCCCAAGAGCCGCGGGGTGGGATTTGGGGGGTCCAGGAACCGCCAGCCGTGCCTGGAGCTGGTGGTTTCTCTGTTCTTTGATCATCCTCCCTGCTCTGAATGAGCCAACATTCCCAAACTCCCCAAACCTCTGCAAAACCCCAAAAACCTTGCAACGACCCCCAAAACCCTGCAAACACCCAAAACCCCACAAAGCCCCCCAAAATCCCACAAAGCCCCCCAAAACCGGCCACCCCAGCAGCTCACAGCAGGGCTGAGGGTAATGGGGGCTGTAAACATGATCTGTAAACAGTCAGCTTTCAGCAGACCCTTGATTTTTTTTTTTTTTTAATTTATTTTATGCCAGATTCGGTTCCAGCGTGGGCTGCTTTAATAATTTCCTGGAATAAATAACGAGCATGGAAAGTAAACAAGGTGTCTGCGTGCAAGTGGGAGCTGCTGCAGCCAGGACTGAGTCACCCCAAACCCCAGCCCCACAGGAATGAGGGGGTCCAGCACAGACTCTGCAGGCTCCCCATAGTCCCTGGGGTGTCCTGGGGTTTTTCCCAAGGTTTTGCATCACCCAGGATGATGGAAAAGGTTCAAAAGACCACGTGGGAGCATTCAATCCCACTGGATGGGTAATTTCATTCCTGCCCCTTGCCCGGAGCTGGAGGAAGCGAGTTTGCCCAAAATGCTAATTTTTAACACAATCCCAGAATGACATTGAACATCACAGAGCCCATCACAGACACCGGAGTTGGGACCTGCCTGGTGGGAAGGAGCAGGGTCCACCCCAGCTGAGCCCCCACCAGGGCTGGGATGAATCCTTGAATCCTTCCAGACCCCGCGCTGCCTGCGCAGGCTCTCATAAATATTTACCTTTGAAAGAAGCAGCTCTCAGCCTTGAAACAACCACATCCTGGGCCGTGAAAAGAGAGAGAGAGAGAAAAAAAAAAAAAAAGAAGAAGAAGAAAAAGGGGGAAAAAAGAGAGACAACCACCCAAAAAACCCCACTAGGCATTTCACATCAGCTGTGGGGACCCAGCACCCACAGCTCTTCTCAAGCAATGCATTCCCTGAGTACTTTTCCAGTCCTTTTCCCTGTGGTTTGCCCAATATCTCCATTTTTTGCCCGCTTCTCAGCTGGCACGTGGTGCTTTCCACCCCGAGCAGCTCTGCAGCATCCCTGTGAGTGACGCTCTGATAAGCAGGGTGGGCACAGCAGTAGGAAAACATCCCCAAGAAGGGCAGATTTTAAAGGATGGGGTTAAAAGGATGGACTCCTTCAGAGCCCAAAACCCCAGAGTTCAGTGAGGCAGATATTGGGGTCCAACCTGCACCCTTCCCCTCACACCCAGGCCCTGACAAGCCCCATCCCAGCAACAGTTTCCAAAATAAGAAACTCTGCTCTTCAGCAATTAACACTGGGGCTGTGGTTACGCTGCTAAAAGTGTTTTTTCCGTGCATGACCAAGGATGGAAAAAGTTGTGGTTAATAAATGACAAATAACCTTTGTCTCCTCACCCTCCCTCCCACCCCCCCTCGATACCCAAAAACAGAGCCGGGGGGGAGGGGGAAGAGAGCAAAAGTCACCACCAAAATCTCACAAAGCCCTGAGGCCGCCCAGCCCCGGTGCCTTCGAAGAACAGAGAGAGCAGCGAGGGATGCGCCCGCCCTGCCCCGGGGAGAGGCTGCCCGAGGCTTTTGGGGCAGCTCCAGGTGCCTTCAGGGGAGGTTTTGCCTCTCCCAAGGGATTTGAAGGACACCCATACCCCTCTAGGGTCATGACAGCAGTTTTCCCAGCTCCTGGCTGTGTGGTCTTTGGGGTTGCCAGGAGAGGGATGCGATCCTTGAGGATGCTGGGAGCGGGATCACAGAACCACAGAATAACATGTGTTGGAAGGGACCTTCAAAGGCCACCCAGTCCAAGCCCTCTGCAATAAGCAGGGACACCAACCAGATCGGGATGCAGCCCCTAGAAATGCCAAAGAAGGGATGCAGTCCCTGGGAATGCCAGGAGAGGGATGCTGGGAGCAGGATGTTTGGAGAGGGATCACAGAAGAACAGAATAGTTTGGGTTGGAAAGGATCTTGAAAAGTCAACGAGTCCAACCCCCTGCAGGGAGCAGGGACATCTTCAGCTGCATCAGGACAGGATGCAGCCCATGGAGATGCCAAGAGAGGGATGAAGTCCCCGGGAATGCCAGGAGAAGGATGCCATGAATGGGATGCAGCCCACAGAGATGCCAGGAGAAGGATACCAAGAGAGGGATGAAGTCCCTGGGAATGCCAGGAAAAGGATGCCAGGAGAGGGATGTGGTCCCTTGGGGATCCAGATTGACACAAACCTGCCCTTTCCTGGAGCAGGGATGGGATGATGGGACACTTCCCTGCTTCCCATCACTGGCACAACTCTTCTCAAGGTGTTCCAGGGAGGAAAATTCCCCCTCCACCACTGCCCTTCCTTGGCTGAGTCACTCAGGCCACCTTTGAGCAGCTCCAGGAGGAGCAGGGATAGGGAATGGGGACCAAAACACTGGGATGTGCCCCATCCCATGCCTGACCAACTGCCACTCACACCCCCAAGCACCAAAAATTGGGGACAGGAACCTGCTGGCTCAGGAGGTGGCAGTTCTCAGAAACCAGATTCAGGTGAAAGGTGTAAAAAAAAGAAAAAAAAATTAAAAAAAAAGAGAAAAAAAAAAAAAAAAAGGAAGTCAAAGCAGCCTCACACTGAGCAGAGATAAAAATGCTGCTCCTCCCGTGGCTTCAGCAAAGATGTTTGAGCTGTGGCAGAGGCTCCAAGGGCTTTCTCCGGAAGGAGCCTTCCCGGCCAGTCCCGGCGTGCCATCAATTTGTGGGACACACTGGATTTCATTAAAATGCTATAAAGAAAGCAGCACAAATGCAAATCCCATTTCCCTTCCCCTTCCTGTAAAAACATCTGGTCAACAGAAACGGCTCGGGACATTTCCGCTGCGAATCGCGGCTTTCATGGAGTTTGGGATTTGGCCATATAAGAGGTATTTGGGGTTGGGGCTCAGCTGGGGAAAGGAGCAGCCCCAAATGGTTTCAAGTGGTTGAAATTTATGAAGGTGGGGAGACCTCAGAGGTACCTAGTCCTGAAGGTTGTATGGGATTAAATGGTGTGGGAGGGGAGAAAACACTTAATGCTTCCAAGGAAATCAGGGAGGACTGGTGAGCACTGCCCTCATAACAGACATCAGAGAATCCACCTGGGTGCAACTCCAGGACCATGCCCAGGTTTTCCTATGGCACATATAAATATATATTAAAAATTTAAAAATATATATATATATACACACATATATATATATTCTTTGATAGATCTATATATGCAAGCACTACAGGTATTCCCATATCCCTCTATTCCAGCTCCTCCTCCACACAGCATCATCACCTCACTCTGCCCTCCAGAATGTCCCCAGGGTGGGACTGCCCCCAATCCTGTGCCCTGCAGCCAGGCAGTGACCCTCTCCCAGGAGAGATCCCATCATCCCCAAATCCCTCCATCATTTTTCCAGTGCTCGAGGGAGGAGGGAGCGATGCCAAAGCCAAGCCAGCTGTGGCTGTGAGCACAGCAAGGGGAGCTGCTCCCTCTCCCAAAATCCTCATCTCTACTCTGGCACACGCCTGGGGCAGGGGGTGCCCACTCCAGGCAGTGCCAGTGGTATTGCCACATTCTCCAGCACAGCTCCCTGACCCTTCACCCAGCACAGCCACCCAAGCAGTAAATGGGATCAGGGCTCTTCAAAGCCCCCACTCCCTTTGATGCCAGGGATTAAGCTCAGAGGCCTCATTGGAGCACCAGGAGAAAAAGGGGGAAAATGAAATAAAAGCTGCCAAAAGCAGCAGGACCCCGCTCCTTTCTCCACACACCTGCCTTTTCCAAGGTCACTCCAAGGGGAGGGATATTTGGGGGCTTGGCTTGATGCTGTAAAGCCCTGAGGCTGAGATGAAATTTCAATTGCATCCTATTATTTACAGGGTGGAAAGGGGGAAGAAAGAGGAAGGGGGAAGGAAGAGGAGGAAGGGGGAAGGAAGAGGAGGAAGGGGGAAGGGTGTTTCCAGGCAGACCCTGAGGGTAACCAACCTCACAATCCACAGATAGTTGGGGTTGAAAAATCCCAAGAACTGATTTTACGGTTACTTATTTAAAACCATCAATTTTCTATGGTGATCAACAGCATCCTCAAATCAGGAGCAGACCCATGAGATGGGGAAAAGGCGGTGGCAAAGCCCTGGGAGCATCCTGGGGCTGGAGGATGGAAAGGAGGAGGCTCCTCACAGCCATTCCCAGGGGGTTGTTGAGTGTTATTTAGTTATTTTAAAGGAAAATAACCCCCCAACAAACTGCTCTGTTCTCACTGCTCCGTGGTTTGCCCCGTGCTGGGTTTGGGCAGTGGGAGCCACCAGCACCGTGGGGGATTTTCCACCACCCCCGGAATTCAACCGCAGTTACTGGGAAAGGGTCAGGATTGATTGTGCTGTAAAGGAGACAGGAGCTGGCCTTGGCCCAGGGAATTGGAAAGGAAGGAGCCGCCCTGAGAATATTTGCACAGGAAGCAATTTAATCCAGAGACTTGCAAAATCCAGCAAGGAACATCCCCCACTTCCGCAGGCCTGGCTGAGAAAACCCCTGCTCGGGGCTCTGGGGTCTCCAGCCTCGTGGGGATGTGGGGCACCAGGAAATCTCCATCCCATGGAGACTGCAAGGAATAATGCTCAGAGAAGTGGGGGAACTTGGTCAGTGTCTTGTTTAAAGTGTCTCCCACCCCTGGGTCAAAGCTGGGCAGGGAATGTGGGGAGAGGAAGAATGGGCTGGGCTTGCTTCCCAAGCGGGAGGGAAACAAAGAAAGAAAAAGGGATAAAAGAAAAAAAAGGGGGGAATAGGGAGAAAAAGATGGGGGTAGTAAAAAAAAAAAAAAGGGGGGATTGAAAAAAGAAAAGGGGAAGTGAAAAAAGAAAAGGAGGAAGAAAAAAAAGGGGGAAGAAAAAAGAAAAAGGGATTTAAAAAAAGAATAAGAGATTAAAAAAAAGAAAAAGGGGGGAAAAGGGAGAAAAGGGGTGAGGGAAGGAAAAAAGGCAGTGTTATCCAGCTGCTGGAGCACCCTCCAAGTGCCCCAGAGTGCCTCTGACCTCTCTGTGCCCCAGGATGGGGACACACACTCCCACGGGGACAAACAACTGCAACCCTTGACATGACGGAGCAAAACCAGCTTTTACTTTCAGATGTTACAATTTTGATGTTGTTTCTTTTTTCAAATATTTAATATTGGAGTCGTTTGACGGAAATAGCAGGAATTCAGCCAGCTGCTCCCTGACCCTGCTGCCCTGAAGGCAGGGACAAGGCTCCAGCTCTACCGGAGGTTTCCTCCTTCCAAAGCACAAGTTTGTCATCAAAGTTAAACGAGAACAAAAAAGAAAAAAGAAAAGAAAAAAAAAAGAAAAGAAAAAAAAAAGAAAATTCATCCCATCACGCCTGTGCAAGTCCTGCCATGTGGAGGAACTGTCTTTTTACAGATTGAACACCCCAATTCCCCCCACATCACTCCCCACTCCCTCACATCCTGCATCATCTCCACTCCAGCCACGTCCCAGCACCACGGGAGCTCCCTGCAGCAGCTGAGAGCTGAACTTGCAGTCACAAAACTCCTTACAAAAACTATAACTATGGGTCCCACTGGGAGCAGAGAAAGGCACAGAGCCTAATTCCTTTTTCCCTTTCCTCTCCCAGCTTGCCCAGGCGAGCAGATGCTCAGGCTGCTAAAGCCACAGCACAGGGGACAGGGTGAATTTGGGGTTCATCAGACTGGGTTGCCCCACAGCTTGGTGGAATGAGGCTGGGATGAGTGGGATGGAGGCCATCAGCCTCTATCCTCAGCTCAGAAGGCAGGCACTGTGCTCCCAGCTGGAAAACCCAGCTCTGGAGTCCCAGCAGGCAGAAATGCAGTGACACATTGACCGACTGCAGCAACAAGCACACCTTGGTCTCAGCATCTCTCACTCCCCAGACAAGACCCACGGGGGTGGCTTTGTCTGCTTCTCAGAGGCATTAAATAACACGGCCCAGCCTCATGTGGCTGCAGCAGAGGGAGAGCAGTGGCAGAGCAAACCCATCCGGGCCCCTCGTGGTGAGAAACCCTCGTGGTGAGAAACCCTCGTGGTGAGAAACCCTCGTGGTGCTGGCTGCACCGTGGCCCTGCTCCTCCCTGTGGGATGCTCTGGCGTCTGGGCATCATCCCCAAATGAGGGACCCGCAGCATCACTGGCTGGAACAGGCAAAAGGCTGGCAGCTCCTTACCTTGGGCGGGTCGAAGAGCTCCAGCACGAATTCCTCGGCGTCGGGCGGCCCCGCTCGCCGCAGCACCAGGCGGCAGCGCTGCCAGCGCGTCCCGCTGTCCAGGGAATTCTCATCCAGCAGCCCGTACTTGAGCAGCCCCTCCTTGCGCACCTCGGGGGGCTGCTCCCGCGACAGCCCCCACGGCAGGATGCGCTTCCCCAGTCCCGGCTTGAGAGCCGCCTCCGCCGCCTCCCCATCGCCATCCCCGGGGAGCGCGTCCGAGGAGCGGCGTCGGAAGAGGCTGCGCCAGCTCCTGCGCAGCTGGCTGAGCGAGAAGGGCCTCCGCGCCGGCCCCGCCAGCTCCTCCGAGCTCCAGGACTTGCGTAGACCAGAGGGAGCAGCCTCGGGGGCTCGGACGGGCTGCTCGGGGCGGGCACCGGGCTCCGCCTCGGCTTTGTTGGCCACCGTGCCCAGGGAAGCGTCGGTGTGCCGCCGGTGCGTGTCCCGGTAATCCCGCGCCGGGCCGGCGGGCAGGATGCGGAGCTGGTTCATGGCGATGCCCTCCTTCACCTCGTGGCAGAAGTACTGCTGGAAGAGGTCGGTGAACTGCACCGAGAAGTTCTCGGCGGCCAGGAGGTCATGGTGCGGGTGCTCGGTGGCGAAGCGCAGGTAGTGCCGCGCCAGCTCCTTGGCGGTGCTGATGGCGTGCAGCTCGCAGAACTCATGCCAGCCCCGGGGATGCGCTGGCGTGCCGGCCGGCAGCGAGTGCCCATTCATTGCCGAGGCTCCAGCGAGGCGGCCGCGCTGCAAGACAGAGCACACGGGTGGTCAGGGCAGCCCCAGGGTCCCCATGTGTCCCCCACCCCGGCAACCCCTGGCTGGAGTGGCCATACCCCACTCAGAATGTGTATCCTCAAGGCCTGGGGAACGACCTGGCCCCACTGTGGTCGACCGGGTCCCACTCTAAGCTGCCTCATTCCCATGGATACGCTGGAAATAGCCAGGGGACAGCTGCTTCCCAGCGAGCAGCACGGCCCTGTGACCAACCGCGATGGCCACCAGCAGCGGCCACGCTGGACCCCGAGCCTGCAGCCCCGCCGCAGCTCCTTTACACGCCCGTCCCCACCTGGCTGGGCCGTGCCTCAGTTTCCCCACCTGCGCGGTGGGGAGCGGGCAGGTCGCGGCGCGGGGCGTCTGCGCGGCTTCCTGCCAGCACAGCTGCCTGCAGCTGCCCGCCGCCCGCGGGGACGCCTGGCCCGGCCACATCCGCTCGGCTCCTGCCAAGGCTCCGCAGCGCCGATGGGTTTCCCTCCAGGGACCGATTTCAACGGAGTTGATAAAACTGGAACGGGGGCGGGAGGGGAGGAAGCAACATGAAAAGCTGCAGAAATCCAGGGATGGAGCTGCCTCGCTGCCAGATCCTCCCGGCCCCAGCGGCCTGAGAAGAGGCCGGGACTGCCCGGGGTGAGCGCGGGTTCCCCAGGGGATGCTCTACCGAGGAGCTGCCGAGCTCTGGCAAACCACACCGTATCTGTGCCCCCGGCAGATTTCACTGCGAGGCCAATCTGGCAGCACCGTGGCTGGCGTGCAGCCGGCCCGGCGTGCCCGGCTGAGCCGGCAGTGGTGCTCCCCAGGGCCGGCCCCGCTGCTCACCAGCGAACCTCGTGCTCGCCCGGGGCACTTATCGGGGCCGTGCACTCCGCTCAGGAAGGAAACATCGGCCAACCCACCCGGATCCTGCCGCGCCGGCACAGGCGCTGCCGCCTCCCCAAAACTCCAGCAGCAGCACCCCGGCTGCTGGGAAGGGAGGAAAAGCGGATTGCGTTTGTCAGGGGGAGGAAAAATACAAAAAAAAAAAAAAAAAAAAGACGAAACAAAAACCCTGAGGGGCCAGGAGGAAGCGAGAGGGCGATGAGGAACGTGCGGGCACAGGGGATCGTGTTTGCAACCGGGGCGGCGATAACGCCGGGAAGCGGGGCTCTATCTCTGCCCACCCGCTGCCCTGCCGAGCACGTCCCGCGAAGGTTGCAGGCGAGGGGAGATGTTATCTGCCCCCCGCCAGCCTCGCCTTCTCAGAAGAGCCACCCAAAGCTCGGGGCCGTCCGGCGCCCCGGCAGTGCGGGGCATGCGCCCGCCGCAGCCCGGCCGAATCCCCCAGCTGGGCCCCGTCTATCAGCGCCGCCAGCCTGCCCGTGACTCAGCATCCTCCGCAGCGCTCCCGCTTCCTCCCGGCACCCGGGAATCGCCGCCGCACCACCCACGCCGCCGGCACGCTCGGAGGGATGCTCCCGCAAAACGCGGAGGGAAGCGAGGCGCTCGTGCGGACGGCTCCTCAGGCAGGTGCGAGATTCCCAGGGTAGGGAATTCACCTTCCAAGATTTCAGGCTCGCTTCGTACCAGCTTCGGGAGAGGTTTGTGGCGCGGGAAAAGCCGGGCTTCGTCTGTGCCACGCGGTGGGAAGCAGCCGAAGGCCGTCTCCAGTAGCAACGTGCTTTTCCAACCCGACGATGGGAAATACTCCCCAGCGCTTCCTCCTCCCAGCACTGGCACGATGCCGACCTCACTGCTTCTGCCTGGCACACTTCCCACATGGAAAGAGCTATCCCGGGTGAATCCATGCTGGAGTTACCACAGCAGCCTCCTGCTCCTCTACTCAGCCCCAGGTTTCAGTGGCAACATCCACAGGGATGCGAGTTCCTGCTGCTGGGTGACCTTCCCCCTGCTCCAGCCTGCTGTGTTCCACGCAGCTGGAATCCAGCAGCCAGTGGCTTTAAGGCAGAATTGACATTTTATTCCTCATATGTTCCCGTGAGGAGATCCTGGCCATCCTGCAGGTCAGATGAAGGACTTCTGATGGCTTTAATTTGCTCTGAGTGGAGAATCCAGCCCATCCTTGGACACATCATGGACTAGTTGAGACTGGGGGGCTTCCATCCCTGCCGGCTGCTGGAAGAGCTGTACGTCACCAAGCCTGCCCCACCTCAGGGGTGTTTGTGGGTGCTGAGGTTGTTTTGGGGTGCTGAGGTTGTTTTGGGGTGCTGGGCCAGGAACTCGAGGAAGAGCAGGACGGGACGGACCGGGCGCGGTGGCTTTGATGACGGTGCGGGCTGGGACAGCGAGCTGGGGCTTGTGCAGGATCCAGCCCTGCAGCCCAGCCACCCCCAGGAGCTTCCCTTAAACTCTTGCCCAACCTGAGCGCTGCTGCGGCAGCAGTGCCAGCACCGACCGGGACGGGAATCCGCGCCTGGATCCAGCAATGGGTTATTTGTCCCAGTAAATGCATTTGTTGTTTAATTGCAGCCAGAGGAGCTGGCAGCACCAAGCAGTGCCAGGGCAGTGCTGGGAGCCAGCGCCCAATCCTGCCACCCGCTCCCAGGGGATGAGCATTCAGAGCCAGCTGGCCTCGCCACGGAGGAGCTGCCAGATCCAACTCGCCACCTTCCCACCTTCCAGGGGTGTGGAGGTCACCCTCCAGCACCCAGCACCACAAATCCAGCCTCGAGGGGAAGCGTGAGGGAGCAGAGCCCACGTGGCCCTGTGCCCTGTGCCCAGCCCTGCTCACACACCGTGCATGTGCAGCACCACCAACCCGAAAATGAAACCGGCCCCACTCGCTGCCAGTTCCACGGCAGGAAAATGCACGCCAGTGACGTGAATAGGAAATGTGATTGATGCGCCAGCTCTCCCAGAAATAACTGTTCCCAACTGGAGGAGAAGAGTCCGGAGGCATTTGCAGCTCCCTTTATAAGCACAGGAATATTCAAAACTCATCCCAAGGACTATTTTCAGGAGAAGCGAGGGGCTGGGAGACGCCCTGGCCGGCCCCGCAGCTCCCCACTTCCTGAGTGGCAGAAACACAAAGTTCCCACAATCCCAAGAGCGGGAACATTGTTCCTTCCCAGGATGTCCTCCATGAAAAGAGCTATTCTGAGCCGGCTGCAGCCTTTCTTGGCATGGCCCCGCAGCCGCTCCGAGGCGGCTATAAAAGGCCAGGTTACAATGAACGGCACTTTTCAATGGAACTGCATCTGGCACGGCGAGTTCGGGGGGATGCAGGTCCCTGGAGGGGGGATCAGGGGGATGTAGGTCCCTGGGGGATCCAGCCAGCCACAGGTGGGCTTGCAGGGGCTGGGTGATGCAGAGCCTCCCTGCAGGATGGGGATGGTGCAGCCCCGCTCTGCATCCCTATCCCCCAGAGACGGCGGGTGCTGGAAGAACATCTGGATGCACCCCTGGATTGATGGGGACAAGCAGGGTGCTGCAGCCGTTTGGAGGTGGGCATAGAGATGCTGCCACTCAGGAAGGCAGGAGGGGTTGGTGGGGAAAGGTCTGGTTGTAGCCTCGGGATGTGGGATACACCCACGTATTTACAGCACCACTATAAAACAGCCAAAGCCAGTGCCAGCGCAACCCACAGCAGAAACTGCCCAGCATTGTCCTCCTCTTCCCTCTGGAGCTCCCTGTGATGGTGAGGATTCTCTGGGTCTCAGAAAGGGTGATGGCACAGCACCATCACTCCCTGTGATGCTCTAGCTGTTTCCACACAAGCTGGAGAATCCCACAGGGTCTCAGGAGTTTCCCTCTCTCTTTTTTGGCTGAACCAAACCAGCAAGTTAAAAAGCAAGAAAGGAGAAGGACAGAAAGATACCCCCAATTCCACACGTGTAGGAAATCAGTTTAAAAGCCAGTGTGGGAAGGCAGATTTTACCCTCATTCTCCCCCTTTCTCACAGGACATACGCATTCCTCTCATTTCACCTCCTGACACTACACAACTTTCTATATTAAAGACCCAAACTGGCCTTAATTTACAGCTCTGTATGGACTGAGAAGCACCACAGAGCTCTGGGGATGTGGGTGATGTTACAGCACTTCAAATCCGAGGAAAGTTCACCTGTTTGGCTTTCCCTGACCACTCCAACAGGACAGACAGGATTGAGACAACCCAAACCCATCTCAGGTCAAATCCAAGCTCCACGCTGGCTCGCCCCACAGCACCTCACCAGCACAAACAGCTGTGGCCAGCCCAGCTCCCCAAAAACCCTGAGCCTGCCCCCACACCGTGGCGTCTGGCACCTTGCAGCCTGGTTTGCACCATCACACTCTCCTACACCCACTGCCTGCGGGGAAAAGCCCGGCAGTGGGGTGGCCTCTTTCGACAGGGCTTGTTTTGTTGCATGAAATGAATCGCTGCGGTGTAGGCGTGGGAGAAACGGGGTGCGGGGAGCGCTCCCGGGGGAGCGGCTGCCCGGGGGTCCCTGGGGACAGCAGGCAGCAGCTGAGCTCCCAGCCAGCCTGGCTCGCCGCAGCAGCCCCCCAGGGATTGCTGGATTTGGCCCTTTCTCCTTGCCGAGCTGCGGCAGCACCACAAACCCCACCAGCGACGAGCGCTTGCACTTTCACTTTGTGTCACCCACTGGGATTTGTCACGACACCTTCACGGTGCCCATCAGTGCCATGGGTGTGTGGGTGGGGAGGATTTGCTCTGGCAGTGGATGGAAGATCCCTCAAAAGCCACTGGCACTTGCACCCCAACCTCACCAACACAGCACAGGGTGCTGGCAGACGTGCAGCCCTGTGGGCTCTGGTGAAACCAAACCAGATCTTACCAGAGGCAATAAATATATAAAAGTGAGAGAAAATAGAAGCTTTGGGGAGGGGAAAATGCACAGGGACGAGTCTCTCCTGCCCCGAGAAAAAGTTAAAAAGAAATCCAAAGCATTGTTCTAGTCCCAAACAAGTCAAAGTGAAACCTGCCACTAATTCCATAGGCCTTTAAACACCAATCCTGTTTCCTGCCAGAAAATCCAAGTGCAGCGAGGACATGCAGGAGCTGGCAGTGCCACGTCCCTGCACAGGCCACCTCTTCCTCTGGCTGCAGCCCCACAGAGTCCCCAGGCCACCAGCCCACAACTCCAGCACATCTTGAATCAATTTACAACAATATCGAAATCGCAGCTCAGTAACTCATCCTGGTTTCCTTGACAGTAAATCCCAGCCCGGGCTGCAATGACCGTGTCACTGCCATGAGCCAGCAGGTCCAGGCTCTCCGTGGGTGACCCTGATGGGGTTTGGCACAGGCAGGACTGGGCACACTGGCAGGGCATGGGAAGGCTGCGGGGATGCTGACCGCTGGTGCATCGGCCTCGTGCTCCGAGCCCCTGCCAAGCCACGGGGCCAACAAAGTCTGCAGGGAGCAGAGAGTCAGAGGAGCTGCTTGGCAGGCTCCAGGTGGCAGCTCTGCTTGGCACTCACAGCGGGCACGGGGGCAGAGGTAAGGCATGGCCCCCTCGGGCAGCACAGGGCCCCAAGGCATGGGGCAGGTGGGCATCACCCCACCGGTCCTGCACCCTCCCAGAGGGGTCACCCCCAAGGCAGGGGCTGCAGGGGTCCGGGGGGAGGCAGAGGAGAGGAGCAAGGCTGGCTCCCTACATGCTGCTCCCCCGGCTCTGGGATCTCCAAAATACGGATGCTGGGAAATGGGGGAAGTCAAGGGATCCCAAAGGAAGGGGTGTTCTGGGGTCCCGCGCTGCTAGAAGGACAGGGGTGCCCAGGATGGGGGCACCCACAGAGGAACAGAGCCCTGGAACAGGGAGTGTCCATGAGGAAAACGGGACCACGGGCAAGCAGTCCCTGGAAAGAGGCAGCCCGAGGAAAGGACAGGGACAAGGCTGTGCCGCACAGAAGTGGTCTGAGGGGGACGGGGCTGCTGTCCGAAGGCTGGCAGAGGAAGGGGCTCACTACTCCGGAACGGGAGCACCGGAGTTCCCCGGGTGAGAGAATCCAGCCCGGGTCTCCCGGAGCAGCTCCGGGGGCTGCACAGGAGGAGCGGCCGCCTCGCTGCTTCCTCCCGCCGCTACTTTCGCTTTGCAGCGGCCGCTTCCCGGGGCCGCCCGTCCCGTCCCGGTCCAGCCCAGCCCAGCCCGTCCCGGCACCGCCGCGCGGTCGCGGTTACCTGCAGGAGAAGGCGTCCGGCTGCCGCTCGCCCATGATGGAGCGGCGGAACGCCCGGGACGGGGCGGGCGGGACGGGGCGCACGGCTCAGCACAGCACGGCACGGCACGGCACGGCACGGCTCGGCTCGGCTCGGCACGGCTCGGCTCAGGCAGGAAACCGGGGCAGGCGGCTCCGCATTTCCGCCGGGCGGAGGCGCGGGGCGCGGACCCCGGCCCCGGACGGGTTATGTAAAGCGGAGCGGCGCGGCCGGGGGCGGAGGCTACGCGGGGGCGGAGCGGAGAGGCCGCCCCGTCCGTCCGTCCGTCCGTCCGCCCGCCTGACTGTCCCTAGGTGTGTGTCTGTCTGTCCGTCCGTCCGTCAGTCCGTTCGTGCCCCGCCGGCGGCTCCGCGGGTGCGCCCGGCTCCGCGCAGTTCCGCGCCGCCCCTCCCCGCTTCTGCCTTTATCTTATCGCATCCGCGCCCGCGGAGCCAGCTGCACAAACAGCCCGGCCGCGCTCCCGGGGTGGATTTATTTTTAATTTTGACACATATGTATTTTTGTGACTTTTGGAATGTTTTCTCCGTGGATTTGGGGGTGTCCGCCACAGCCCCCCGGGAGTCGGGAGGGAGCCCGAGCGTGGGGCTCTTGGAGGCTTGGAAAGAAAATGCCCCCTTTTCTGTTCCTGCTCGGCAACGTCTTCCCCCAGCTCCGTGGGCTGGGACCCAAGGGACCTGTGCGGTGGCAGCAGTGGGCCAGATGCCATCTCAAACCCTGTTTCTCATAATTTTCCAAATTATCTTGTGGCAAAAGGCAGCGCAGGCTGCTGCCCACGTCCAGCCAGAGCGGATCAGGATACAGGGCCCAGAGTTGTCCCACACCGTGGGCGAGGGCTTCAGCCGTGACAGAGCGGTCACAGTGTCCCTGGATCCCGAGCAGGATGGGGGACTGCAGTGGGTGGACACGGGTCAGGCTCAGCCATCCTGGTGCCACCTCGTCCCAAGGGAGCAGGGGCCCCACAGCAAAGCCACAGCCACCCACTCTGCCATGGGAAATGGAGCAAAAATAAACTCCCACTACACCTTTTTCCAGTAAAGGGCAGGACTGTGGTCTGTAGTGTCACATCTGGCCCATTGACATCCCCCACTCGTGTTACTGGTTGTGCAAAGAGCTCCTACAAAGCCATGTCTGGAATGGCAGCAGTGACAGGGACAGAGGAACAGAGCCCCACGCAGAGGCCACTCACACTGGGCAGGCAAAAGTCACAGCAGAGCAGCTGTGGTGCTGCCCAGGGTCTGGTGCCCACCCAGCATGCCAAGCCAAGGAAGCCCAGGGATGTGGCAGCCGGGATTTCACACACTCCACACAATGGATTTGTGGGTGTTGGGAAGGTGGAAGCTGCAGGAATTTGCCCTTGGAGAGTGGGCTAGGGACACACTGAGCCATTTGTGAACACCTGTGTGTCACCCCCCGTGGGGTCCGTCCTCAGTGGTGCTTTAAACACACCTCAGTTGTTCACCCCATCCATTCCCAATCCACCCTCCAGGGAAGAAACGAAAGAAACACAAACTCCCTGCTGGAGCTGCGCCACCCCTGGACCACAGCCGGTTTGGACACAGCTCTGCTGCCCTTCTGCAGCCTCAGCAACCCCCCCGGATCAGATCTGAGCCATAACCCCGCAGCCCCTCGGGCATTGCCAGGGATCCAGGTGACTCCGCATCCAATCATCCCTTCCCAAACCCCACAAGGAAGTGGCTGGGAGCAGCTGACATGATAAAATCTTACCTTGAAATCTGCTTTTTAATTCCTCCTGCCGTTGCTTTATGCATAATTGCACCTTCTGGCTCTTTTCCCGAGGACGGAGGAGCGGCCGGCGGATCCGGGTGCCTGCCCCCCTTCCCGCGGGCGGCTGTCCCAGCTCCCAGCGATCGCACTTTTCTTTATCAGCTTCATCTATGTCAGAAGCGCCCTCTCAGCGTCCTCAGCCCCAATGGCCTGAGATTTCTCTTTTGTTTTGCTTCCTGTATGGATTTTCTCAGTCCCCAACTGCTAATTCACTACCCCCGACTTCTGCTTTTTTTTTTTTTTTTTTCGCCTTTTGTTTTTTTTTTTTTTTTTTTGTTTTTTTTTTGTTTTTTTTTTTTTGTTTGTGCATGTGGAGCTGCGCAGATGCTCTTACACACACACACTCTCACTCAGGCGCTGCTGCTTCCCTTCCGCTCTACGCTGCCCTCAGCTTTTAACCATTGCTGCCTTCTTCTGCTGTGTAAAAAACCCTTTACCGGCTTCCAGCCGTCCTTCCCACTTCCCTCTTTAATTGCTCTGCTCTGGCCCATTCTGTTTTCAGGATGGGTGGGGCGGTTTGGAAGTGGCTCATTTGCACACCTCCAGGCGGGATGTGGTGGGTTTCAGGTGACCTCTTCCATCCCACACCGAGATATTGTCCTTCCCAACCTGCCCGGAGGGGGCTACGACATCTGGAAACGCTTGGCTGTGAGGGTCTGGGCTGAGCTGGAAAATGCCCCCCAAAATCTTACCCTGGCTTTTACGTGTCCCTTCCGAGGGTTGGCTCGGGGGGAGATGGTAACGGAGGTGCTGATTTAGGGATGGTTGGGCTGGTTGTGGAGGGGGTGCTGATGGGCAGGGGGGTGCTGATGGAGCGGGATGGAGGCAGTGACGGAGGCTGGCTGCCCCCTCGTCCCCGCTGAGCCCCGCAGCGCTCCGGCCGCCGTGGCCGGGCTCCCGCCGCCCTCTCCCGGCCCTTCCCCGCGCTGCAGCCGCCGCCTCCGGCCCTTCCCCGCCCGGCTCCGCCTGCACGGAGGGGCCCGGGGGCAGCGTGCCCCGGTGCCCGGCTGGAGGCGGCCTGGGACCGGGAACCCCGAGAGGGAGCGGAGCGGGGCAGGTCCCGCACCCCGAGAGGCGCCCGCCCCACGCCCGCATCTCGCTGACAGTCAGGACTTGTTCGCCTTGAACGCCAAGGCACGGCTCGGGATCCATTTGGGTTCCCGGGGGGATGATTCTCTGCCGGGCACCCGCACAGAGCCGGGTATCAGAGAGCCCCCCGTTCCCCCAGCACCCCGAGATTCCAGGCACTGGGGGTGACTCAGAGCTCCCGCTGCCCTCGCTGAGCCGACAGCACCCGCCGCTGTGTAATCACAGCAAGTCACCGGTCATGGGAGCAGCTGGAAGCGGGGGCCAAGAGCATCCCATGTCCAGAAATGCTCCTGGCACCCCCTCACCTCCTTTCAGACCCTTTTCTTTTCCCTTTTCCTCTGCTGTCGGGCAAGTTCAACATGGGAGTTAATTTTCCCATTTTTCCCATCAAAATTTGAGGGGAAACTGAGGAACGGGGTCTGGGCTCCTTGCTGGGGGGTGCTGGGGGACAACAGGGAAAATATGGAGCCGCTCAGAAAGGGAAGTCCTGGAGCTGGTGCAGCAACATGTGACTGTCCCAAGAGAGACTCAATGGGAAGCAAAAATCCACAGGGGAATTTTGCAGGTGTTTTTGAAGAATTGGGATGATTTTCCAGAGCAGCTGTGGCGGAGGAACAACCTCTGCAAGATGAAAACATGGCTTTGGGTCCCAGGAAAGGAAAGCAGAGCTGGGAGCACTGCTGCCTTTTTCCAATTAGCCAAGCTGCTCTAATAAAGATATTGCTTCTCCCCACAGCCCTTCCCATTCTAATCTTGCCATGTGAAAAGGCATCTCTGAGCTAGGCAAGGAGATAAGTGCTGCAGAGCCCTGAGACTTCCCACCAGCGACCTTGAACAGAGCTGCTCTGCTCAGGAGGGAAGATAAAGCCCAGATGGTTTTAGTGTAGGTTTAAATCCCTTTTTATAGCCTGAAAGTGAAAGCCTGCAGGTGACAAGGAAAACCCTTGGTGAACTGAAAACCTCTGACACAAGCAGAAAATTATAAAGTCCTGAGCAGTTGTGCAAGGAAATGAGGGCATCTGTGGGTGGGGAGTGAACCACAACCTGTGGCAGAGGTCAGGGACAGCAGGGTTTCTGGGATGGGGACCTGTAAAATTGTTGACAGTGCCTTGATTGCCAAAATGCACACATGACTGTGGAGCAGAGCAGGAGGATGAAGAAACTGGAGGAAAGGGACAGTGATAAGGAGAGCAAATCCTTGATGCTGGTATTTACTGGGACATGGTGAGGACAGCAACACTGCCAAGGTGGTCCTGTGAGCCTGGAAGGCCAACCAAGAGCAGAAGTCAGACTGGAGGCTTGTCCCCACTCAGCTTCTTCTGTCCTTCTGCACTGAGACCACCCCACACTTGTCTGTGGCCCAAGGATATGGGTGGAAGGTCAGGAGAGCAGCCAGGACTTGCAGCCTGGTCCCCTGCAGCATCGCCCACCCACACAGGACCAGTCCACATCTTGCCACCAACCCTCCTTGTGGGGCTTGTGTCACCCACCTCATCCACCAACCTCTGCCCGTTCCCTGCCAGACGCTGCCAGAACCCCAATTCTTTCCTTCCGAAATGTGCTCAAAAATTCAACATTGTGCAGCCACCTTCAGGACTAAACTCCTGGGTTTCCCACACACGTGCGCATCCCTGAGTATCCATACATTCACCCCGGGATGTGCATATCCCCCGCACCCTCCAATGCGTGCCCCCACCTCTCGCCCATTCCCCCCTCGCTCTCCCCGCTGCTGTCTAGCCCTCAATCCCGGTGCCCGAATCTGCCGGGGGTTTTGGGCCGAGCCAGGGGTTCCCTGCCCCGGGGCCGAGCTCCGGAGCGCTTTTCCAGCTCCTCCCTCCCGCCCGCGGCCGCGGGGATGGGCGGTGGCGGAGGCGGGCGGGAGCAGCGCTCCGCCCGCGGGGCCGGGGCGGGCCGGGGCGGTGGGAGCCGAGGACAAAGGTGACCGTGAGGGAGCGGTGCCCCAAAGCCCCCTCGCACCATCCGACCCCGGATCCAGCGCTCTCACGGCCACCACGGCCACGCGCGTGTCGTTGATGCTGGTGACCGCCGCAGACCGGAGGTAAGAGTCCAGGTGAGTGCAAAATCTGGCACGGCGAAGCCACCAGCGATTAGGGGATAAGAGGAGCGGTGGCCTTGCCCTGGTGACAGGGTTCACGGCCAAAACGGCTCTCTGGAGCGGCAGGCAGATCCACGGCGCCGGCCAAAACGCTCCCTGCGCGCCGCGGGGAGGAGCGGCGCGACACGGAAAACACGGCGCCGGCGGGAAGGTCACCTGTGCAGGTGACGTGAGGCACCGGGACAGGCCCTGCCTGGGGCTCCTCCGTGGGAAAACACTCCACTGGGGTGGTGGTGGGGGGGGTGAACCTCGTCCCCAGTGAGCCTTGGGGAGCCAGAGCCCACCCGGCATCCGCAGGACTCAGCACCTTATCTGGGAGGGGGCTTATCCCAAGTATCCCGGTGTTGTTTATTCAGTAGCTCCATTTCCTGGGCGCCAGGGCTGCTGCCAGCAAGAACAAAAAGGCGATGGTTCGTTTCCGTGCAATTAAGGCGCTGCGCTGAGCACCCTCTGTCCCCGCAGGGCGCGGAGCCATGAAGCTGAACGAGCGGAGCTTGGCCTTCTACGCCACCTGCGACTCCCCGGCCGACAACTCCGGCTTCCTCTACAAGCGCGGCGAGCGGCACACGGCCTATCACCGCCGCTGGTTCGTGCTCAAGGGCAACATGCTCTTCTACTTCGAGGAGCGGGACAGCCGGGAGCCCGTGGGCGTCATCGTGCTGGAGGGCTGCAATGTGGAGCTCTGCGATTCAGCCGAGAACTTCGCCTTCGCCATCCGCTTTGGCGGCAGCAAGTCCCGCACCTACGTGCTGGCGGCGGAGAGCCAGGCGGCCATGGAGTCATGGGTGAAGTCACTGTCCCGAGCCAGCTTTGACTACATGCGGCTGGTGGTGCGGGAGCTGGAGAAGCAGCTGCAGGAGATGAGCCGGGGGCTGCCCGGAGGATGTGGGGGCTCCCAGGACGCTCCCGGCCCTTGGAAGCCGAAGCCGTCGGGGCTGGAGCAGTCCCGGGAGCGGCTGCCGGCTGTGCCCGCCGTCGTGCCGAAGGAGAACGGCTGCGCCGTGTGGAACAACGTGCTGGGTGCGGACCGGCCGCCCGACACCTCTGGCTGCGGTGGGCACGATGAGGAGGGGACCCCGCGGCCGCCGCCGCTGCCGCCGCGCAGGCGGGTGATGAACGGAGAGGCGGCCGTGGCGGAGAGCCCGTCCACCTTCTGCCGGCTGCACGAGCAGTACAGCCGGGAGGTGGCCCGGCTGCGGCAGGACTGGCAGCAGAAGCGGCGTGGCCCTCAGCCCTGAGCCCAGGTTGAGCCCTGGGAACCTGCCAGGAGCTGGGGCAGGTGGCCATCCTTGGTGCTGGCCCTGTCCCCTCCTCACCCCGGGATGCGCAGACCTGGCTGTGGTGGTGATGGACACCTGCTGGTGGTGCCAATGAGGGCTGGGCACCAAGGGACGCCAGTGCTGCTCTGTGATGGTGAAATGGGCACCACAGGGGTGCCCTCCAGCCGTGCCCCCATGTGGGTTTGGGGTGCTCCACTCAGCACAAGCAAACTACAAACCACTCACTGACTGAGGCCTCCTGAAAATCGACTGCTGCTCTGGCTGTGCTGGGGCCTCTTGGTGCTCTTGCAGTGGGATCGTGCCTTGACAACTTCTGGAGGAGGATTGTGATGGGATCTCGCCCGCCTGGGTTCCCGTGTGGGTTCCACAATGGAGAGCCTGCTACCAACTTCCCCTCCTGGCCCAGCACAAGGCTGAGGTCGGCTGAGCTCTGCCAGATCCCTCTGCTCCAGCAGGATGTGGTTTGAAATGAAAATATCAGTGAGTGCAGCCCTTCCTTAATGGCAGCAGCAGCTCCGCACGCTCATGGGAGCTGGTGACACCCAGCCTTGGGCATTTCACAGGGAGCAATTGCTGCTTGCAGCCTGGATGGCAAATATGGGAGGGGTCAGACCCTGGGGGAATTCAGCAGCTTCAGGCACTGCTTTGCTGGTGGATATTTTGGGACAGCACATCATCCCCGTGCCAGCTCAATAAGGGGAAGCATCGCTCGTGGTGGCAAATGGGAACGTGTGTGTCAGCAGCAGAGCGTGAGGAATGATTCATGTGCCAAACCAGAGCGAAGCTGGTGTCTCATGCCTGTGTTTCTATCTTATTTCCACATCAGAAACTCAAACTGCTGGCCCAGAGGTGGGGTGAACCACCCTGGAGCAAGGGGGAGCAGTCAGGGTGCCCTGGCTTAGGGGCTGGTGGCTCCAGCTCCCTTTGCTCCCTTGGGACAGGCACAAGATTTTTCTACAATAAAAGTTGTTCCCTCCCATCCATGGTCCTTGTTTGTGCCTCTAAGCCCCTGGGGAGGGGGGTCCAGGTGGGAATTAATGCTTTATTTTAGTCCTCCTTCTGTGCCCACCATGTCTGTGGCGCTACTCAGGGACTGTGTCACCTGAAGGGGACATAGCCAATGGCCTGGAGTGCCCTGGAGCCCCATATCTGCCTGCAGGGATGGGGTGAGATGGGATGGGGTCACCCTGGGAACACCAGGACACCCAGTGCCAGCGTGGTCCCATGTCAGGGTGTCTCTTAACCAGGACAAAATTTCTGTCCCCTTGTTGATGCTACACAGGGACCAAGGACTCTGCCATTGTGAAAGTGGCCAGCATGTCCCCATGTCCCTGCCCACACATCCCACCTGCACAAAGGTCTCCATCTTCTCTTTAACACGGGATCTGGCAGAGGTTGGGCAATCACTTCTTGGGGAAACTGAGGCACGAAGCCAGTCAAGGTCACCTGTTCACCAAGAGCCTGTAGAGTGTGGAGCCTGCTCCTGGCCAGGCAGGCATCCCCCTGTGGAATTTGGCATTTGGAGCAGTGCCAAGGGCAGCCAGGGTGCAGTTGCACCCAGAGAACCCAGATGGTTCTTGTGGCTCCATCCTTCACCGCAGGGGGAAGATTCCAGTTTCCATGGCAGCTGGCACAGCTTCTCCAGACGTTCAGATATCCATCAAAGTCCTTCTCAACATGTTAGCTGACAAACAAGCTCAAACAGATATGCAACATATGGATTTATTAATTCATCAGACACAAACAGCCCTGCCTCGTGGCAGAAGCTGCCGACTTGCCCAGCAATGGTTGGCTCTGAACAAGCTGGGGCACCGTGCCATTGGCAGTGCCAGGTTGGACAGGGCTTTGGGCAACCTGCTCAAGTGGAAGGTGTCCCTGCCCATGGCAGGGGGTTGGAGTAAGATGATCCTTAAGGTCTCTTCTAACCCAAACCATCCCAGTAAATGATGATTTTATGATAAACCAAGCTGAAACTCATGCTGGAGGATGCTGAGCTACCCCAGGGGCAGGAGCTAACCTGCAGCAGGGATGAGCACAGGAATTTCATGGGGCAGGATCACACCCTGAGCTGGGCTAACCCCATTTAACACCTTTTTTTTATCCCCCAGTCACTGGGATAACGAGAGCTCTTGCCACAATCCCAAAGCAAAGCTGTGACTTCTGAGGGTGCCAACACTGGGCAAGCATGAGAGGGGTTCCCATTCCATCACCTCCGGACAAAACACACCCCAAGGCCAGAGTCGTATCCAACTTCTGTATTTAGTGGCTCTTTACAGAACTTGTTCCTTCCAAAATTGTTAAACAAAGTTCATCGATCTCATAGAAACTTTTGAAGTACAGAACATGAGCCTAACAAAAACGTGACCGGTGTGTCCCGCTGGCTTTCATACAACAGGATTGCCGTGCTCAGGACTATCCTAAGTGCTTCCTCAAATCCCGTTCCACTAAAGCTCCCTCTAGCACACAAAGGAGAAGGCAGTCAGTGGTCACACCTCCACCTTCCACAGCACGGTGGCAGAGCAGCTGTGGGCAGGAGAGGCAGGCAAGGAGAGCTGTGCCCTCACCCAGCATTGCTCGTCCGCTACCACCCGAGTACAAAAATACCTTCTATTCTGATAAAAACATCTACAGTGGAAAATCAGTCAATGCATCGCCTGGGAGCCTGGCAGGGCCTTGGTGGGCAATGCCATGTGGGCAGGGGGCAGGGCAGAGCAGCCCAGCGTGGGACACTCCACATTGTTTAAAGGCATTTTGTTAGCAGAGGCCGGCTGGAGGCGGTGGGGTCAGGGAGGTGACAGGGAGCACAGCGGGATGGTGCCACCACTGAGCTCCTCTGTCTGCACAGGATCAGACCTGGTAAGCCAAAGAGCAGTGATGCTTTGCCCAACTCAGGGGTGAGCTTGCCCAATTTAGGCAGGAGCCTGATGTGACATCCCAGAACTCATCCTGGCATCACTGACATCCACTACCTGGGACATGGCTAAGGGGAATGGATGCTCCTCCTGCCCTGGTGATCTCCCTAAAAAAGTGCTGGGCTGTGATGCTGGAGCAGCTCCAAGCAGGGCTCAGCCTGAGTGGGTGGCTCACAATTTTTGGGCGCTCACCTTAAGCACTGCTGCTCCAGGGCCAAAGCTTGGAGGCTCCATCTTTCTCTTTCCTGAATGGATGGGGAACCAGGATGCCATGATTTCCATTCCCAGCGAGCTGGCACCATCCTCAAGCATCACACCCAGGGACATTTTCCCCTCCCACTCCCAAAAGCCCAAGCTCACTCAGGTTGCTTTCTTTGCTTTTGCCTCATTTTCTCTCCTTTGGGAGCTGGCACGAGCCTCACCACGCCGGATGGGAGCTGCCACCGGCCGGAGGAAGCGCGAGGGACGGCGTTGGGACCATGCTACATCTTGTTCCAGAAGGCTATTGCAGACATTTCTACAACATATACAACCACACGGGACATTCTGTGTTACAAAGGCTTCCAAAAACATAAACCACCAGAACTAAATACATACTCGATGGCATCAGGGGCTTTAGAGTCTTCAGGGACTAGGATGCAGTCTCTGGCTGGGGCAGAAGCGATGCAGTGTCTTACAGACAGGGGTGGAAACTGCAAAAGTTTCTTAAATTTGGTCAGTCTCATAGTGCTTCTTGATGGCTTTGCTCAAAAAGTCTTTTCTGTGGGTTGGTTTTCTTTTTTTTTTTTTTGTTTTTTGTTTATTTGTTTTTAATCTCATCCAGTGGCAAACTACAAGACTTCAGTGTACATTTAATGACACGACTGCTACATCATCTTGATTTTATAGCTATCTTTAATATCAAAGCAGCTTAAGCTGTTAATAAATTCCAAAGTATCCTTTTATTAAAATATCTAAAAGAGGTCTATAAATATTTTTTGTTTTTTTGTTTTTCTTTTCTAAAATTGTTCCCAGTTTTTCACATTTAAAACAAAGCCAGAGGGGTGGGGCGGATTCATAGAGGGGGGAAGGTCCCCTCTTTTTCATGGGCGCTCCTCTTCCGTGGCGCCGGCCACTCGTCACCTCTCGGTGCACACTGCATTTATCAAAATATATATATATATGTGTGGGGGTGTATATATATATTTAGGGTGTCGGGGGGGCTCAGAACTCCCACTCGAGGGCCTCCTCGCGGTTGGCAGCCCGCTCCAGGCGGTGGATGATGTTGTTGAGGTTGGCCATCTTCTCGTGGCGCCGCTGCACGCTGGTGCTGAGCCGGGGGCCAGGAGCCGGTGGGAGCGCGGGCGAGACCGGCCCGGCAGAGGACGGTCCTGGTGAGGCTGAGCCGGTGAGGCCGGGCGAGGAAGCTGCCGAGGGCGATGTTGGGGACACCACCAAGCTGCAACGGGATGACCCCGCGGAGGACTGGGAGCTGTCGGGATGTGGAGGCGGCGGCGGCGGAGGTCCCCCGGCGGTGGCACCGGCGCGGCCTCCCCGCCGCGGGAGGCTGCCGGCGCTGGGGGCGGCGGCGTGGGGGGCTGCCCCCCGCTCCTCCTGGGGAGGTCCGGTCCCTTCGGCTGCTCCGGCCGGGCTGCGTGAGTCCCGCCGGCGGCTCCAGCCGCCCGGATCCCCCTGCTCCTCCTTCACCTTCACGGGCACAGCGGCACAGGGGGGCTCGCCCCCCACGAGCACGGGTTTGTGATCCTCGGTGTCCGAATCGGGGCTGTGGGGGGCCCGGCGCCCGGGGATGGCCGTCCCGCCACTCTGCTCCGGGTCCGTGTCATTGTCCTGCGCGCCCTCCACCAGCATCTCTCGGCGCATGCGTGACCTGCGGGACACAACCACGGAGAGGTGGCAACAACCACCCAGTGCCCCATGCCATGTCTCCAGCCAGTGGGCAAATTGTCCACTGCAATATCACTTAGGGATGAAACCTGTGCTGCTCCCCAGGGCTGGGCTGCTGTGGGGATGGATCCAGTGCTCCAGCAGCCTCCATAAGGCGTTCCCTCCCCCTCTGCAGGGATCCCACTCTGGGGTGAGCAGGTGGATGTGAGCATGGAAACCACTTTAGATGCTCAACATGACTTGGTCAAGGTAGCCAACACCACCCAACCTGGGGACCTCCAGCGGGTCTGCACCACCCATCTAGGGAAGAGTGATGGGGAAGGCTGGAAGGGGAACTGTGACACCCCCTCCGTGGCACAGCACCCCAAAGCTCAGGAGTGCCCATACCTGTAGTTGTGGAACCAGTTGATGACGGTGTTGGTCTTGAGGTTGAGCTGGAAGGAGAGCAGCTCGATGGTCTGCTGGGAGGGATATGGCTCCAGCTGGTAAGCTTTCTTTAGGGCTTCCTTCTCCTCTGGCGCCAACACCACCCGCGGCTTCTTGATCTGGAGCAGGCTGAGGTCCTGCGGCGGCGCGCTGGGGCTGGCGCACTCGGAGCGGGCGCTGGGGGACTCGCTGTCCGAGCCAGCGCTCATCAGCCCGTACCGGCGCTTCAGGTACGCTGCAGGAGAGGACACCCAGCTGGCACGGCTCGCCCCCCAGCCCAGGACCCCCCCCCCAGCCAGCACCCCCACCCAGTGGGGCTGTATCACCCCATCCCTCACCCTTCTTCTCCAGCTTCTTCATGTCGCGCAGCTTCTCCACGTTGTGGGGGTCGTTGAGCCAGAGCTGCATCCGGACGAAGGGCTCCCTCCCCTTCAGGCTCAGCTTGTGCCACGGCTTGGGCCTGGAGAGGAGATCGGACACCGAGCCCTGCGTCAGGCCCAGGATGCTCTCCCCAAACAGCCGCTGGCCTGGCGGAGGAGAAGCAGAGGTGGTTAGCGGGGTAGAGCAGCGGGACGGGCGCTGCAGTCCCCCTGCAGAGCAGGTGCACCCCATTTCCCAGCCAGCATCCTCCTGGAATTCCCATGAGCACCCACAGAAAAACGTCTGGGAGGGGGGTTGCATCTACAGGAACTGGGGTGCTGGATCCATGCAGTCTCACCAGCAGCTCCCAAAAACTTGGGCAGAGAGAGGATCCGCACCTAAATTGTTGTCTGTCAAGACCTCCTTGACCTTCTTGGTGATGGAGTAGGTGTCCAGCTCGGGGGACATGGCGACGATCTCCTGGATGCCCATGGGGCCTTGGCTGTTGGGATACGTCTTCCCACCCAGCACAGGTGTTGAGCGGCTCTCGGGCTGCTGGTTTTCCTTGCTGCTCTCCAAGGCCAGGGTGAGGGGCTCCTGGCAGCCCTTCTCGTGCTCAGTGGGGCTGGGGGGCGGCGAGGGGGACGGCTGGGGCTCCGCCGGGCTGGCTGTGTGACACCAGGGCAGAGGGGTCAGTGGGAGGGGACAGTGCAGGGACCCAGCAGGAGCAGGAAGGGCATTTGGGGGATGCCTGTGGCTTTGCCCTCTAGAGAAGAGGGATACCAGCCAAGTTTTTCCAGTGGCTACCAAGTGGGAGATGGTGGTGGTGGAATAATTGAAGAGAGAAAATGTCACCAATATAACACAAAAAAAATCCAATTACTGCTTTATGTCAGGCACAAAGCCCAAGATTTTTGATGTGGCTTTCCTTCTATTTTTGTTCTAAATGAAGGGGTTGGGGATGAAAGGGGTTTCCCAGGGTCTGGGTGTTGGTATTGGAGTTGGCTGGGATAGCTCTTCTCAGTGCTGGGGTGGGAGCAGGACAAACTCACTGGGATGCAGGGGATGGACACAGAAGGGGTGGGGACACTGATGGCATATGGGGACTACAGGGACAGTGTTGTCACTTACCCTGGGAGGGTGTGGGCTGCTGGCTGATCCCCTGGCCCAGCTGGTCTGTCAGCCAGAGCTGCATGCGGATGAAGGGCTCCCGACCCTTCTGCGTCAGCTTGCTCCACGGTTTGGGCCGCGACAGCATGTCACTCACACTGCCCTGGGACAGTCCCAGCACCTGGGCACCATGCAGGTGTCACCCACTGAAGGTGGGGTGCACTCCCCCAGTGCTGGGAAGCTGCCTGCCCTCCACTCCCGTGTCAGGGGAGGAGGAGCAGGATGCCACCCACTGCCACCCGCTGCCCCACAGCATGTCTGGACCCTCTGTCCCCTGCCATGGGTGCTGATTGTGGGTCCTCCGGGATACCCAGTGGGGTGGGAGGCTGGTCCCAAAGGGCTCTGTGTACTCTTGGTGGGAAGTGCCACCGACCAATTAGTGGTGGCCACCGGGAGACTGGGGTTGGGTCAGATCTTGAGGACTCAGAGTCCTCCAAGGGGAAAAAGACCAGGGAAAAGGAAGACTCTGGAAGGAGCTGGTGAAGGCCATCAATGAGCCCAGGCCCTGGGTCACGGAGCAGAGGGGACACCAGCACCCCCTTCTCCAGGCTGGTACCTTCTCTCCGAAGATCCTCTGGCAGATGCCGTTCTTGGCCAACTTCTCCTTGACCTGCCGGGTCAGCTCCAGCGTGTCCACCTCCCTGTACATGTACATCTCATACTGCTCCGGCGTCAGCGGTGGCACCGTCGGCTTCAGGGTCCGTGGCACGTACGTGGGGTAGTAGGACAGACGCCCACCAGCCGCCGGCTCCGTGCCGGCTCCCTCCGCCTTCATCTCCGACAGCCGCTGGGGCTCCTCGTCTGCCGGCTGCAGCTCGTCCTCATTGGTGCCACCCTCGCCGGGCTCACCCCGCGGCCAGCCCCGCCCGTTGGCCATGCTGGAGTAGCTCGAGGAGGAGGAGGACAGCGAAGGCGACACGGAGGTGTAGGGCCGGCTGAGCAGGCTCCGCTCCGACGCCCAGTGCTGGTCGAAGTAGGAGCCGGCGTCGCCGATCTCCGACTTCACCTTCCGGATGATGCTCTGGACAAAGGCGGCGGGGGAGAGCACGGCCAGGGGCGTCTGTGGCGGGCCAGGGCTGCCCCCGCTGCCCTCCTCCTGCTTGACGTAGGCGGGGGCGATGTTCTGGCTGACGGTGGCCAGCGTGGAGCGCTCGGTGGGCGCCGCGTCCCCGCCGCGCCCGCTGGCCCCCGACTCCATGTCCAGCAGCGCCTGCTGCTGCGCCTGCATCTCCCGCCGCGCCTGCTCCAGGATGTTCTTGATGGCGTCCTCAGAGCTGCTGCCACTCGCTCCGTTGGCCACTGCCTGTGATGCCGACGGCGTTTTGGGCTCCCCTGCGGAGAAAAGGGGTGAGGGCAGCCCCGAGGAGCAGCACACGTCGTTTACTGTGTGGCCACAGCTCGAAGAGTGGGAGAAAAGCGGTTTGTCCCGATCTGGTTTGGAGAAGCAGCATCCACAAAGCAAAAGCTTCAACAGCCCAACGCAAAGGCAACTTCTTTTTTGATGATTGCAAAATAAATCCCATTACCAACAATGCGATAGACAAACATGTTTGTTTTCCCTGCCTGTTTTTCCACCGTTCCCGTCTAATTTAATTCTCCGTGATTCTGCTTTCTCAGCAGACTACCTGTTTTAATGTATTTCATTTCTTGTAATTGACTGTGAGAGCAGCTGCTTTAATGATTCCTCGTGCCAGATGGATTCTGAATACTCATTTAATCATCTGGTTTGGGGCAAGGGGGAGGAAAAGAGTGCATCCAAAGTTTCTGAAAGCTCAGATCTGAACTCTGCTGCACAGGGACTCTTCCACCCCACATATTATTTCCTTCCAACATGCCCTAAAAGTCTCCATGGATGTCGATGGGTGAAACACCCCCAAAAAAGCCAATTTTTGGGATGGGACCCACAGCCACAGAGCACCCAGCCACTGTGACCCCGTTGGGTGCTGCTGCCACAGGGCAGAGCAGGGACTTGGCCACCCCTGGAGCCACCCCCATGGCTGCACCTACCTCCCTTCTGCGACTCAATCTCCTTTTTTGCCTGCTCCAGGATGCTTTTGATGGCGTCGTCAGAGCCGGTCTCCGGCGTCCTGATCCGTGGCGTGATGCTACCTGATCAAAGAGGCAGGATAACAGCTTTGTCACCAGCGCTGGTTTTACAAGCTCCACTTGTATGTCAGGAAGTATTTACTGCTCCTCTTGTTCGGTTATTTTTAGGGATGCTAGTTTGAAGACAAATGTCATTCCCAATTAGTCTCTACCGGAGCACAGGGAGCCCTGGTAGCCCTGGCCAGCTCCTGCCTCTGGCACAGCATCTCCCACCACCTTGCTCATCCCAACCAAGGGCACCCTCTCCCCACCAGGAGCAGAGACACAGGCACAGAGACCATGTCCCCATCCCTGGCACTGTGCCCTCCTGGCTGTGCAGGAGAAGTGTTAATGATGGATCAGATCCAGGGGATAAATCAGAGCCCTCCAAGCTGAAACCAGCAGGTGCATGGGCCATGGGTGTGCATTGTCCAGTCCTGGTGCCACCACGGGGACTCAAGTGACCACCTGCCACTGCTGAGATGTGGCCAGCAGCCACTGTCCCCAGAGATGGGAGTCACCATTCCACGGCTGTGCCAACCCCACGCCAAGGTTCCGCAGCACTAAAACTTCATTATTTTAATGAAATATTCCAGAGCACATTGATTCATACGGCACGGAACAGCCTAATGAATAATTAAATGGCACTTGTCAGAATAAATGAGTAAAGCACGTCCAGGGATGCAGCTTCCACAGCCGTGGGTTGTTGTTAATTGCTGCCGTTTGCCAGGGCTCATCCCAGCCGGCAGCCAGCTCCATCCCAGCAGGGAAAATCCCGGGGTGCCACTGGTGGGACCAGCATCCCATCACATCAGGGTCTGGTGAGCACCACTGCCGTGGCTTGGAGCACTCCAGGGTGCTGCTAGTGAATTGGGGTGCACTGGGAGGGGACAGGACCCATTGGTGAGGGCCACCCCAACCACTCACCTCTCTGGCGCACCTGGATAGTCCTCAGGGCCAGCACGTTCTGCTCGTCGGAGAGGAACTGCTTCATCTTGATGAACGGCTCCTTGCCCTTCACCGTCAGCTTGTGCCAGGGCTTGGGCCGCGCCAGGATCTCGCTGACGGAGCCCTGAGACAGCCCCAGCACGTAGTGCCCGAAGACCCTCTGCCCGATGTTGTGCTTCAGCAGCTGCTCCTTCACCTGGAAGGCGATTTCGGCCGTGTCCAGCTGCTCCTCCTCGGTGGAGCTGCCGGCGCTGCCCTCGGAGGGCTCGCCGGGAGGGCTGGTGGCACTGGTGGCCGGCACGGGGACAGGGTGCACGGTGCTGCTTTTGGCCCCGAAGAGGGAGGAGGGGAAGGGCGGTGCCCCGCTGCTGCTCTCGCTCTTGTAGCCGGCCAGCGGGAGGTGGGGGGCCTTGGGGTCCCCTGGAAGCCGCTCGCCCCCCGGGAATGGGGACAGCGAGAAAGTCCGGGGACCATCAGGGGCCATGCCGGGGCCAGGCAGCGGAGGGAGGGGAGTGGGGGATGCGGGGTCATCGGCCGGGGCGTGGTGGGGTGATGGGTACGGCTGCTCCATGCCCAGTGGATCCTTCCCCGACTCGTCTTCGGAGTGATCCTCCTCTAGAGATGAAGGAGAGAGAGGGAGACACACTAGAGTCCCTGTGGCTACGGCTCGGGCACAGCCCTGCAGCCAAACTGCTCCTGCCTCAGTTTCCCCAGGTGACATCCCACCCCACCACAGTCAGGCCACCCACATTCCCACGGATATTCCCAGTGGGATGCCACAGAATCTAAGGTCCCTACCAGTGCTGGCCAGCAGGCTGGGCTTCTCCAGCAGGTACTTCTGGGAGGGGTAGAAAGCCTCCTTCCCCAGCAGCAGGGCCTCCTCCGCCTTCGAGATGCTCTGCAAGGAGCCAAGCCGAGATGGGGACAGGCGGCGGAGGCACCGTCGGCAGGGCTGGCACAGCCCGGCCAGCGCCTCGGGACGCGCTGCGGCACTTGCCTGGGGCAGGCTGCAGCCGGCAGAGGCCACCTTCATCGCCTTCAGGATGCTGGCAGGGAGACAAGGGGGTGACGTGGTGGCCGTGTCACGGCTGCGGGAGCGCGCCGCGGGTGCCAGGACAGCGGCAAGGCAGACACGGGCGCCCATCAAGCCATACCTCAGCTCGGTTTTGATCTCCTCGTAGTCTGCCTGTGCCTGCAGCTTCTCCTCCAGCTTCTGTGGAGCAGAGGAGGGGACTCCTTGCAGCCGGCTCCTGGTGGCCAGACAGCACGGCCGGGCCCGTGTCCCCCACCCCTGGCATGTCCCAAGCCCCCGTGGGCGCACCTCGATGGCCTCGTTCTTGGCGGCCAGCTGTCCCTCCAGCTCGGCAATCTGGGTGGCAGAGGACTCCTCCAGCTCCTGCAGCGAGCTCTGGAGGTGCTGGACATCCTTCAGGAGCCGCAGGATCTCCCGGTCCTTGGCAGCCAGAGCTGCCTCCAGCCTTGACCCTGAGCACATGGAATAGTTCACTTTGTCCTGCTGGGAGAGGGGACACTGTCAGCTCCCGGCCACCCACGGTGGGGACAAGGGCCACCCTCCCCACTGGACATGTCCCCATAGGAAGCAGGGCTCAGCCCAGTGCATTGGGGACACTGGTGACAGAGCCCTGGGGAGGGGCAGACCTTCCTTCTGCCCTTAAAGGTCTCCCAGGTGCATTTCAGTGCTGTGGGGGTGCATGTCCCCTTCTCCGTGGGAGTCTGAAGGGCACAACCAGTGCCACCACCTCAGGGTGAAAACACTCCTCAGGCATTTTGGGCTTGCTCCCCAACATGGTGGGTGCTCCCAAACACAAAAAGGTGCTCCTGCATCAGTGGGGTGCTCCCAAGTGCAGTGGGATGCTCCTGGCTGTGACAGATGCTGCCAGCTGCATGGGGGGCTGCTGGCCCTGGGCTGTCCCTGGCCCCAGGGCTGTTCCTGGTCCTGAGGGGTGTTCCTGGCCCCGAGGGGTGCTCCTGGCCCTGGGGATGCCCTCACCCCCGTGGTGCCCGTCGGGGAGCAGCAGGCCAGGCGCAGGGAGCTGTTGACAGCCGCCAGCTGCTCCCGCAAACTCTCCACTTCCCTCTGCGCCGCCTCCGCCCGCTGCAAGAGAAAGAACAGGAATCACGCCAGGAACTGTGGCTCATCCCACCCCACACAGGGCCCAGGATCTGCCCCAGTCTCTGCCTCTCCTAAGCACCCACTCCCACTCCCAGCATCATAAGCCCAGCCCAGATATTTAAGCTCCCCCCAGGTATTTAAGGTCCCCATGTCCTAACACAGTTCCAGATCCCAATCCTTGGGCGCTGGCTGCACACCATCTCCAGGACACCATTTTTTTTCCACCCAAAAGGATGGTTTTATTTACACAAATTGTTCTTTAGACATCTTTTATTAACTACATGCATTTATCTGTACTTACATTTTCAGAATAAAATAAAACTAATTAAGAGGAGTGGACAGGACCAAGAGAGATTACAACAGAATCTAACACAGGAACAGCGTGGGTTGTACCCTAAAACACTTGTGAGAGGCTGGAGGTGACAAGTGCCAGCTCCAGCAGGCAAATGGAGCCTGGCAGAAACCCAAACACACCCTTGACCCCACACATGGAGCAGGGGGTCCTACCAGGGGGAGGAAACCTGAGCTCTGCTTTGTAGGGGTTCCCAATCCTGGTGCCTGTCAACCCCTTATCAGTTTTGGGGACAGACATCCAGGTCACACAGATGCTCAGGGTGCGTGCAGCACCCCGGGCTCTGCAGGGCCAACCCCACCAGCTCCTGCAAACTCAGCTTCTGGCTCACCTGGTTGGCTTTTTCGAGGTTGGTCATGATCATGGCCACTTCATCTGCCCTGAGACAGAAAACAAGAGGTGTCAGAGGGTGTGGGGGCACAGACACAGCCCAGAACACGGGTTAAGGCTGAGGGATAAGGATCCCGTTGTTGGAAATGATACAACTTTCAACATTTTTTTGTAACTTTAGTCAGGGGCTTGTTTGCCTTTGCCCAAGGGGAGGGGAATTGAAGTTTCTCCTCAAAAGACTCCCATTCACAGGGAAGACTTGGGAGTAGCCAGGAGATAAACAGGAGATAAGGGAACATTAACATTTCCCCCCTGGTGGATTGGAGACACCTGGTCTGGGAAAAGATAAGATAAGAGAACCCAAGGATGAGGATGCAATTAGCATCGAAGGTGAAGGGATTAATAACCAGTAGGAGATGGAATATTAAGGATTGTGTCATTTGAGACCAATGAATGTGAATTTCTACGGGGTTTTTATGTACAAATACATGGAAGGTCTGGTACAAAACCAGGTGTGATTGAATGATTTTCATTGCACAACCCAGGCATGTGTGGATGAAATAATTTCTGTTGCACATCCCAGCCAGAATAAAGTAATGCCTTGGTTCTCCAACACTTAAAAGATGTTGTTGGAGAGTTTCTGTTTCTCCCACAGTTTTGATCACACCACAACTCAGGATGCTCCTGCAGTGGTTTGAAGTATCTCAGCTCCTCAAGCAGCACCACGGAGATGTCCCAGTGCTGTCAAAAGTGGCTCGGCTCAGCTTTGAGCACAACCCAGCCCTGCTGGGAACTTACTTGGACGCCGCTTCCTCGTCGTATTTACAGCGCAGCTCCAGCAGCTCCGTCTGGGTGGCCTTCAGCGCTGGCAAGAGGAAGAGGAGGGTGAGCTGTGGGGTGGGGGCTTGGCCCTCCATGCTCAGCAGCCCCTGTCCCGGCCCCACTACCTGCGTGGAGCACTTTGATCTTCTCCTCTGCCTCCCCCAGCCGAGCGGCCAAGGTGACCTGAGCTTCCTGCAGGCCCCTGCGAGAGACGGGCACCAGGGATGTACCGGGGGCACCGCGGCCGTGCCAACCCCACAGCCCCCCAAAATCATACAGAGACCCATCAGAGTCCCCTCCTCTAGCCCATCACTCACTGAAGCCAGGGAAGACCCACCAGTGGATACCAGGATGTGTCCAAGCTGCGTTACCCTTCAGTGTTAAGGGGTAGCATGTTTAATGTTTATTGCCCCAAAGTGTAAAAAAAAATTCACTTTGGGTTGAAAATGGTCCCTGATGCCTGAGGCTGAAACCCCTCTGAGGGGGGCATGGCAGCCCACCCCCACCTGTAATTAACTGGAGGAGGGGGAAGCAATCAGGGGAAAGTTATTCTGCATTATTTATAGCCTGCACTTGCCAGGAACTTACTCGCAGAGATCTGCAATTTAGGGTTTAAAGATTCTTCATTTGTTTCCCGGTGCAGCGTGTCAAGGAATAACAATGAAGGCACCAGAGCCTCCGAATTAAAAGGTCATCTAACGAGGTTCACACAGCGACCTGGATTCAACCCATGAGTCCGAGCAAAGCCATGAGCCAGGGATACCATGGAAGGGGACAACAGGAGGGACCTGTCCCGGCTGCGCCTGTGACTGCTGCTTCCCCAAAACCACCTGGGACTGGGGATGGACAGACAGACAGACAGACACTGGGAACGAGAGTATGAGAGGTGTCGGGTTTCTGAGCATGGTGCGGCCACTCCCAACCAGACAGCAAAGGGAAGGAGAAGGGGGATGGACAGAGGAGCAGGGACAGAGCCACGTGTCCTCGCAGCGCCCCGAAACGACCCCATTCCCGGCACTCACGTACTTTTGCTTGTCTGCCTCATTTCTCTGCAGCGAGGTCTCTGTGCCGGCCGCTTTGCCGTCGAGGCCGGGGAGCTGGGGCTCGGCTGCGGGCGGCTTCCCCTCCCTGCGCTCTGCGGGGGGACACAGTCACACGGCTGCGGAGGGGACAGCGGCGGTGGCCAGGGGGCAGCTCCTGGCCCTGGGACCCGCCCTGCTTTCCAGGGATGCTCAGAGGCGGCACACGCGGTACCCTGCCACCCTTCCCCAGCGGTACCTTTGGTGCTGCCGAGCTCCGGGTGCTTCTTCCAGGGCCGGCTGAGATCCTTCAGGGGCGGCGGCTCCGGCTCGAGGCGCTGGAGCTGCTGCAGCCGATCCTCCAGGCTCCGGGCAGCCTCCAGCACAGGAGCGGGGTCTGCGGGATGCGGGATGGGCGGTGAGCAGCAGGGATGGCTCTCCACGGGCCCTCTCCCACCTCCCCGTGCCGTGGGGACACCCCGGGTCCTGCCTTTCTAGGAATTGTGGGGATATCCTGGGTTCTGCCATTCCAGGAGCCATGGGGACATCCCGGGTCCTGCCTTTCCCAAAGCCATGGGGACACACCGAGTCCTGCCTTTCTAGGAACTGTGGGGATATCCTGGGTTCCTGCCATTCCAGGAGCCATGGGGACACCCCCATGTCCTGCCTTTCTAGGAGCTGTGGGGACACGCCAAGTCCCTCTTTTCTAGCAGCCATGGGGACACACCAGGTCCTGCCATTCCAAGTGCCATGGGGATATCCTCAGTTCTGCCATTCCAGGAGCCTTGGGAACACTCCAGGTCCTGCCTTTCTAGGAATTGTGGGGATATCCTGAGTTCTGCCATTCCAGGTGCCATGGGGACACACCAGGTCCTGCCATTTCACATGCCATGGGGACACCCCCAGTTCCTGCTTTCCTCAAAGCCACGGGGACACGCCACTTCCTGCCATTCCAGGAGCCATGGGGATATCCTGGGTTCTTCCATTCCAGAAGCCAGGGGGTCACCCCAGGTCCTGCTTTCCCCAAAGCCATGGGGACAACACCAGGTCCTGCCATTTCACATGCCATGGGGACACCCCCAAGTCCTGCCTTTCTAGGAGCTGTGGGGAAACGCCAAGTGCTGCCATTCCAGGAGCCATGGGGATATCCTGGGTTCTGCCATTCCAGGAGCCATGGGAACACCCTCAAGTCCTGCCTTTCTAGGAGCCATGGGGACACGCCAAGTCCCGCTTTTCTAGCAGCCATGGGGACACCCTGCCATTCCAGGTGCCATGGGGATATCCCTGCCTTTCACTGCCAGCCCCGAGGCACGGAGGGACGGGCTGGGGGCATGGGGGCATCACCTCCCCTGGCACCCTGGCTCCGGCAGGGCCGGTTTGGGCACAGACAATGGAGGTTTGTGCCGAGGTAAGCAGGTGCATCCGGAGCCGTCCGTCTTCCCTCTGTCAGCATTACACCATCATTAGCTAGTGTCTGCTCAGCGGGGTGTGCCATTATGTCTCCCAGGGCTGATGTAATTATACATTGACATAATTAACCCAGCAAGCCCATTAAGCAGGCCAGCTAAAAATTCATCTATAATTATTTGTTGTGTGCATGCTAATGAGTCCATCTGCACTGCCATTGTACAACATGAACAAATTAATTTACAAGTCTGGATTTTTTAATAAGTTCAAGAAAATGCCTCCTATTGAGCCAGGTTAATGTAGGTTTGGGGGATTTTTTTTTTTTTTTTTTTTTTTT